TTTTTTATCTTTGTGGGATTTAGAATTCTGAGTTGAAAGTATTTTGATCTGGCACTATGAGACTATTTATATTTAGTGCTCCAACATTTTCTGGTTTGTGCAATTCCAAGGAGAAATCTGAAATAATGCTTTTCTTTGCTTCTATGTATGTAATTCTGATTTTCTCTGGTTACCTTTAATACTTTCTTATTATGTGTCTAGATGTATATATTCTTCTTCTGTTTAATTTTGCTTGGGATTCTCTGAGCTTCTTGGATCTATGTTTTAATTAGTTTTGGAAAATTTTCCACCATTATCTTTTTTTTTAATTGAGTGTATTGGTACATTTTAGGTATAAAGTACAGTTACTTTCATTATTGGGATCTTGTACCATTACATGACAGGTCTTGGTTCTCATTTTTTCCCCTTGTCCCCACCCTCCCTTCACCTCCTCCTCCCCTCCCCGTTTACAAACACTTCATTTCCAATTTTTCATGTTCTTATATTTTTTCTTTTCCCTTATTCCCTTCCCCTACCCTTCCCGCTTTCCCTTAAACCTTTAGCCCTTTTCTTCCTATTTTACATTGTTAATTATCCCATTAGGATCTTATGTACTATTATAGTTTTTTCACACCAGAGAAACTATTTGGTATTTACACGTGTGTGACTTATTTATTTTACTTAGGAGTATATCCTCAAAATGGATCCATTTTCCTGTGAATGAATCTAATTTCTCATTCTTTATGGCTGAGTAGTATTCCATTTTACAGGCAAACCACACCTTCTTTATCCAGTTTCCAACTGATGGGCAAATGGGCTGCTTCTATGTTTTAGCTATTACAAACTGTGCTGCTATAAACATAGATGCACATATATCACTGTGATATGATTCTTGTTTCCACCATTATCTATTTAAACATTATTTTCTGACCATTCTTTTTTTCTCTTCTTGTACTGCGATTTTAGTTGTACATGTGTTGAACCAAGGTATTATCCCATAGCTCCTGGGTCATCTGTCCTGTTTTTCCCCGCACTGTTTTGCTCTATTTAAACAAGGTGACTTTTGTGGAGCCACCACCCATTCCTTCCTCAGACTTACCAAATCTACAAGCCACTGGAGACAGTTGTCCTCTGTTTTTAAAATTCCTAACATTTCCATTTACTTTTAAAAATTTCTATTACTCTGCTTCAATGGCTAATTTGTTTTTTGGAAGACGCTGTATAGTTATTTCCACTTTCCAGTGTGTTAGTTCTGACATCTATGTTATCTTTGAAGCTGGGGTCAAGTGATTTATCTTGTGTTACTGGGTTGTTTCCTGTGTGTTTTAATGTTAGATTCAATGTTCTACATCAGGTTTAGGAGAGTAAAGAGAGAAGTAAGCAGGATGGATGACTAGAAATGGGCATGCCTCATCTTTTGTTAGACTGTGTGTGTGTGTGTGTGTGTGTGTTTGTGTGTGTGTGTGTGTCTGTGTGTGTCTGTGTGTGTCTGTGTGTCTGTGTGTGCTGTTACCTTGGTTGCTGCCTTAGTTACTTTTCCATGTCACAAAGAAACAATACTTAACATCCACAAACTAAAGGAGGAAAGGTTTATTTTGGCTCAGTCTGTAGAGGTTTCAGTCCATAGTCGGCTGGCTCCAAGGCAGCACAGTATGGCAGAGCAGAAACAGGACAGGCAGGAAGCAGCAAAGCAACAAAGAAGCAACATGGAGCCTCCCTTTCCCTTTCATTCCATCCCCAATACAAGGCCTTTGGTTGTTGTCACCCACACCGAGGGTGGGCCTTCCCATTGTCCACACCCAGAACTCTGCTAATCCAGTGAACTGATTTAGTTATTATACCCTTAATCCATATCACATACCCTTAGTCCACATTCACATACCCTAGATTTAACCACTTTTAAAAAAGCTTCACCAATGAACACATGAAGTTTTAAGGGGACATCTAAATATAAGCCATAACAGTTATCTTCAGTGCACCACTTGCTTCAAATTCTTATAAGGTTACTGTTAGATAGGGCTTCAAAATTGAGCAGTCCTTGAGATAGGCAACTGGGGGCTATGTGAAAAGCAAGTGAGGCATGAAAAACAAAGAAGATGTGATTCTTTTTTATTTTTGCTTCATTTTCTTAATCATTAGCCATACATAAAATCTGAACAACTTACGGTTTCAAGATGTAACCCCAAATAATGTAACTTCCTCTAAGCATGTGGATAAGCTCCAGGGCCAATTTAATGTCCAGACCATGGGGGCGGGGGTTGAAAAAAGTCTTGAGGTCTTGAAACAAATCAATGGAGACATTCCACCAAAAGGGTAAACAGGAACTTTATTTTTTATGAAGTTGGGCCAAACAAGCCCATTTTTTTAAATGATAGAACAAAGACCTGAGAGAAAGGAAATGATATTCCTGGAAAGCACATTTAATCACATAAAACTTGCCTGAGCCTTAATTAGATGCAACTGCCATCTTGGTGCTTGCCCACATTCAAGCATGAAGGTGTATTGTTTCTATTCATTTGTTATTCTGAAAACCTAATACTATGTAATAAATTCTGCTTGTCTCTGTGTGATTTCCCGTATGATGTTTCATCTGAATTCTCCTGTTAGAGACACAAGAACCAGTGGAGCTTCAGAGATTCCACATGGTGTTGGGACCTGGCTTCCTAGTGACATCACATTGAGCTTTTCCTATTCTAGCAAACTTGTGTGAGTGCTGGTTTCTAAAAGAGCTTCTTATTGACTTGTTCTACCTTTGGCTTTAGGCCTGTCCTGCACACCTGCCCTTCAGGAATGGCCTGTGTCCACACTTTCATTTTCCCTAACAGATTTCAGGTACTTGGTGCCTGGTATTTGCTGAGTTAAAGGTGGCCTCCAGGAGTAGTTTTTCTTGCCCTGGTCTCATCTCAACTTCAGGATTTTCTTCAGTCTTGAAATGGGCTTTCTCAGTGATTCTGCCTTCCCTAGTAGTAAAAAGTCTCCAATAATTCAAACCCCAAAGAGTTTCCTGTCCCACACTAGGTAGTATGAACTTTTAAAATTTTAATTTTTCTTCATTTCAGGAGGTCTATGGAGAGAGAAGCCCCTAAGAGAGATCAGTTTTCCTGATCTTCCCTAATTATTATAGGATTTGTTCTTTAAAAGAGAAGGATCTGAACTGGGCTTCATGTCTGCACTTAGAGGCTATTTTCTCCAGTTTCATTAACTGCTTCAAATTTTTCCCATGAACAGCTGATAAAGGTCCTCAGAGAAGGGTCTGTAAAGGGTGTAAACACCTCCATGGGTCTGCGGATCTATAATATTGACGTTCTGGTTTTTATTCCTTTTTCCTGGCATATAACTCCCCAAAACTGTAGAATCTGAAATGACAAATATTTTTTTGTGTTATTGATCTGGCTTATGGCTGGCATCTTCTAGGTAGCTTCGGGATGAGGAATGGTCACTGGAAAAGTAAAGGCAGGATTGATGGTCTGGGACTAGAGTCCCACCCCCAGCCCTCCTGGGAATGGAAAGGAGACTGAGGAGTGAGTAGATTGCTGATGTCCAATGATTTAACCAATGAGTCCTATGTAAGAAAATCTCCAAAGATAACTTAAAGGACAGGGGTTAGGGAGCTTCTAGGTAGCTGGATATGTGGTGGCTCCTGTAGGGTGGAGCACCTGGGAGGCCATGGAATCTCTGTGCCTCTTCTTCTAAACCTTAGCCTGTGCATAACTTTCATCTGTACCCTTGTTATGAAACCTTCACACGTGTGTCCCTGAATTCAGTGTGCCACTTGAGCAAGAAAATCAAACTCAAGAAGGGACTTGTGAGTTGATAGCCAGTCTATAAGAAGCACAGGTATTATTGGCATTCAAGATGGGACAGTCCTGTTCAGTTGAGCCCTCGACCTGTGGGATTATCCTCAGGCAGAACTCAACAAAGGTAGAAGACACTCAGCTAGTGTCTGCTGCAGAATTAGTTGGTGTATGAGGAAAAACAAACCCTGACACAATGTCAGAAGTAATCAGTGTTGTGAGTGGACAGAAGAGGAAACTGAGTATTCTTTTACTCAAATTCTAAGGATTTTATACTCACATTCTAAGAGACATTTGATCTTTAGCCTTTCATTAAATTTGGCTCAATTTCACATGTAGAATGACCCAATCTTCCAAATGTAGAGAGAAAGTAAGCTGAGGCTTACATTCCAGCTACCCTCAAAGTAACTGTCTTCACAGTTTCAGGAAAATCATCTGCCTTATAACTTCTGCTCTTTGATGCAATTAAGATTTTGAGGATAATCCAGTTGTTCCTTGCTGTAGGGGTGAAAGTGAGACTCTTTGGAGCTTTTCACATCCCAGCTGAATACAAAAGACTCTGCAAGAGTCTGATGCTTTAGGGAAGGATTTACTCCAATATGGTTATTTCCCAGACCTGAAGTGAACCAGGGTACAGTTTTTGGAAGGCACAGCCTCATAAAGGGGCCTGGAAGACTACTGTATACATTGAATAAGGGATTGCAGACCTGTGGAAAGATAAAAAAGACAATGCAGCAATGCTACAGACTCACTATGGAACCTCTCCTTTATCCCTTTCTAGCTATGGTTGGAATGTGCCATATCAGGCACCTCCATGGGCACCTCCAATAGAGGAGAAAGATACTAGGGCTGGGGATTTAGCTCAGTGGTTCTGCCACCTGCCTTGCAAGTGCAAGGACCTGAGTTAGAACCCCAGTGCCCCCAACACAAATAAAAATACTGCACCCTGACTATACCAGTCTCTTGTTGGAAATTTTGGGGGGAGGCAGAAATGAAGCAGGTCCAAAATCCCTTTAGTATTTTAATGTGCTTAGCCTGATGGACTCTGCACCTACAGGCCAAGCTATCCCTATAAAGACAGCCTTCCTATAGATGGAGCTTCTCTCTATATGTTCTCTCTGAAGAGGATGGACTTATCTCCAGCCAGACATGGACAGTGGTTTGATCTCCAAAAGAACATTTATTTCACAAATTGAAGATACAAGAACAAACATGCTTTCTCCCTGGCTGCTGCTATCCCCAACAATCAATTTCAGCCTCTACAAGATACGCCTTCTGCCTATAAACACCTTCTGTAGAATACCCCTCTGTTAGCTGCTCCGGGATAATGAGGCTGGCTGATCTTCTTGCTCACTTCTCAATGTGTTCTCTCTGGGGTGGCTTCTCCACTGCCTCCTTGGCCCTGAGTTCAGTCCAGAAAGTTGTTTCCTTCTCTTTTAGCCTCTGGGAAGCCTGGGTACTGGCACCAATTTGTAAGTATCCTTCCTTTTGATCATACTTTGGCCAGTGGGGCAGCCCCTCTCCATTGGGGTTCCTGGGAACAGAATCAAATACAAATTTTCCAAGGCTGCTCTATGGTCCCCATATTTTTCTAAGGCTTTCAGGGATCCCTTATTTTCCCAGAGGTCTCTATACCTCCAGAGATGGTGATCTTTCTACCTCCTCGGACAGCCTGTGGGTCTGTAGACAACAGTCAGAGCACTATGGTCACACGATCATGGATCTGATCACTCAGTGTTCAGAAGCCACCTTTCCCAGTAGATGTGGCCTACCATACCCTATCTCGCCCACCAACCCTGTTACAACTTTGCCATCAGCCTCACCCTTTGCGAGCAAAGTTGGCCCAGAACTTCATCACCATCTTGCTGAGGTTGATCTCCTCTTCTAAGACAGTCAGAGCACTATGGTCACACGATCATGGATCTGATCACTCAGTGTTCAGAAGCCACCTTTCCCAGTAGATGTGGCCTACCATACCCTATCTCGCCCACCAACCCTGTTACAACTTTGCCATCAGCCTCACCCTTTGCGAGCAAAGTTGGCCCAGAACTTCATCACCATCTTGCTGAGGTTGATCTCCTCTTCTAAGGCATGCTCTGGGGGAAGAGAAAAAACCTTTTTGCTATACAAATTATAGTTCATAGATCTGAAGCAATAGCAGCATGATTTGAAAGCTTGTTAGAAATTCAATATCTTGGCCCTTAAGCGATCATGGATCTGATCACTCAGTGTTCAGAAGCCACCTTTCCCAGTAGATGTGGCCTATCATACCCTATCTCGCCCACCAACCCTGTTACAACTTTGCCATCAGCCTCACCCATTGCGAGCAAAGTTGGCCCAGAACTTCATCACCATCTTGCTGAGGTTGATCTCCTCTTCTAAGGCATGCTCTGGGGGAAGAAAGAAAACCTTTTTGCTATACAAATTATAGTTCATAGATTTGAAGCAATAGCAGCATGATTTGAAAGCTTGTTAGAAATTCAATATCTTGGCCCTTACTCCACACCTACTGAGTCAAAATATGCATTTTAAGAAGACCTTAGTTAATCGTGTGCACTTCAAGCCTGAGAATGGCTGATCTAGTACATGAACATACAATCCAAGAATGAATTGGGTGCCTTTGTCTTACATACCTGGCTCCCTCTACCCTTTAGGGTCATAACTCCACACCCAAGTTTCCCGTACTTTGAGAGATCACTGTCTTCTCTGGGTCTCTTCTTAATGTCCCAAACACCCACATTTTACAGTCTAAAAAATATTAGCACTGCAAATACCCTAAGGAATCACCCAGTGGGAGATGCCCAGAGGCATATGTGGATCCAGCTATGAGGTGGGTCGCACAACATGCAACTGCAAAAAATGAAAGTATTGAAAACATTGGTGAAAAGATTTTGTCTGCATATTATATTTTTAAATAGATTAAATATACGAATTTTAAGTATATAGATATGTAAGGCACAGATATGCATAAATGTGTACTAGACCCTACTCAAAATTAGCAACAGTTCCACCCTTCCCCTCACTCACATTCAAATAGATTCTGGTGAATCAGAAATCAAGCAATGGCCCAGGACCCTACAGTGACCCACTGCCTGTGCTATTGATGTCACAGGTCAGGATTCTGAGAATGACTATGGTTTGGGGCACTTGATACACATCTTGCTGCATGTGTGTTAGAACAGAAGAAAGGCTGGGGCCTGCCCAATGTAGCTTGCTCCTCTGAGAAAAACCAAGAAAAGGAGAGAAAAATAAACTTGCCTGTGGCCACCATATCGAGGCCAGAAATCAGACCTCTTTACCAGCAAAGGGGTCATTACCTTTTAAAAATGGGATCCCCAAGACGGAGTAGACCTCATCCCCATGGTCTGCTATCACAGTCTTGGGTTTCAGGTCTGATGAAAAGCTTGGGCGATAATGGAACTCATACATGTAGGTAGGGGCTCCAGCATCTAAGAAGACATGGATCATGCACAGTTAACATTACCAGACACAAATCTGGCTGGTGTCAAGGTCTCTAGCGCTGTAGGAAATCTGGTTTTTAGCAGTGGAGAGAAATGGAGTCTCAGGAAAGCTCCTGAGTGGTTTAGGGCTACAAACTAGTTAAGGTGAAAATGGGACTTGAGTAAGATATTGGTTGAGTGAATGCATGAATGAGTGTTGAAATCATGTATCAATGCATTTAAAATGACCCTCACAAGGCCACTGTTTCAATGCACATAAACCTCTTTGCCTCCTGACTTATTTGTACACAATATCTTCATATATTCAGTTCACAGTGGATGTGTTGCATTGGTAACAAACTAGTACTGATTTATTTCTGAAAGTTCTATAGACTGAGTGGATCTAGTCAGCCTAATTTTTAATATTTCTAGTGTTTTTATCACCCATTCTTAGAAGAGTAAAGCAATTCCAAGCTGCTCCTCTGAAAGCAATAATAATTTAATATAAGCATAAGCAAAGAAAAAAACAAGCTGTCTCTTGTGTCTCAGGAAACTTCAGAACTAAAACTCTATATTTCTCTATCACCTTATATAACCCTGGTTCATTCTTGGTTCAAGGAGTGTTCATGCAATACAGTAGCATCAGAGAAAAGAGGGTCAGGGAAAGATGAGCCTACCTCTCTTTTGACCTCCCTTCTTATTCCTGCCTTTTTCTTTCACCCGCAAACCCCTCCTACCCAAGCCCTAAGAAGATATTATTTTCCCTTTTGATTGGATCATTGAAGCCACCAACACCTGTTCTCTAAGGTCTAACTCATAGACTCCAGCCTGAAATCCCCAAAAGTTGCATTGATCATAGCCCACAAAAGTTGGTGAAAGTCAACCCAACATTAGTCTGGTGGAGAAGTCTGACACCCTTTCCTCTTTGGATACAGTAAGAAACCTGGAAAATATGAAAAAAAAAGAAAAGAAAACTGAACAACAACAAAATCACTCTAATTCCACCATGTAAAGAAAGCCTCTTTTGATATTTTAGCGCAAACATCTTTTATGTATATAAAATTAGAATAAAACTGTATATGCTATTTTGTAGCATAACTATTTCTTCACATTATTTAATATTCATCTGTAAAATGATTCAATAATGTGTGCTATGTATGAAGATATAGAATAGTTTATTTAATGTCCCTCTCAACTTTCATCACTGAACCTGTGGTTTAGCAAGAATTGGCATTTGGAACAAATAACCTTCTGTGGCTCTGTAATCCACTTGTTAAGCAAATGCTTCAAGGTCAAGGAGAACTTGTTCAAAGGATAATAACCTTTCCTTTGCTACTCACATGTTTAGGAAAGGAAATGAGACCACAATCATAGAAGAAAGACCTTTTGTGGATGACAGGATGCATTTTAGGCAGCAAAATACCCACACTGAGGTTCACAAAATTTGTATATCACGAAATGAACCTTCAAAGAAAAGTAGGGCACATTTTGAGTCGTAATCAGAAACAACATGAGAAGAAAAGACAAGAAGAGTTCTAGTAAACAAAATTATGTAAATGAAAATGTAGTATGATTTTGTTTTGTTTTTGTAGGGGAAGTCTTTTTAAAAATTATTTTAATATTCCAAATGAGAGAGGAAATAAATCCATGCTCTTACACACTGAAAAGAGATTTTCTAGTATGTATCAACAACTCTAAAAATGTTCCTGTGGTCTAACCCAGTAGTTTCACTTCTAAAACCTAATATTCAGAAAGTTACTAGAGCTATGGTAAACATTAATGCACATAAGACTCAACAAAATGTTATTGTAGTATCAAAATATAAGCAGCTATCCTAAATATCTAATGGGAAAGGAATAGCAAATTTTAGGCACCCATTCTATGAAAAAATAGATATTTTCAATGGAGTTTTATTGACAGTAAGGGAATTCTTATAATGATCTCTGAATAAAATTGTGATATAAAATTAATTTTAAATGATATTCAAGATATAGAAAATTTATTAGAAAATATACTGGAAAAATTGGCAGCAGATAGTGCTGGGAATAGGAATTTTTAGTGATATCTAGTGTCTCTTGTGCATTCCAATATTTTAAAAACTTCTATAATTTGAACATATTAATTTATATTCGGAAACATTATTTTAATCAGGAAGAGTGAAACAAATACAAAAACGAAAATTGATAAAATCTGTGTAGTGCTCACAGAAAGACTCTGAACTCAAAGCTATAAAATATCAGAAGAAAGATACAAGTCCAGGATAGGGAGAAACCACAGGATGTGTAGGCAGAGACCCCCTAGATCAGACGTACAGCAGGAGACACACTCAAGTTCATGGAAGCACAGATTGTACCCCAGTGGGCCCTTGGGGAGGCTTCATCAGGAGGAGAAGGAAACAGTAGTTAGCACCTGTGTATCACTGTTCTGAGGGGTACCCGTGCACTTACTTCATCCACTGTAGGTGAGATTTATCCTGCTATAAAGCACTGAAGTATAAGACCTTTCCAAAACAGCACAGTCGACCACAGACATTTTTTTGGGGGGGCTTTAGACTAGAAAACGAAAGCTTCTATCCACAAAAAGGTCATATGAGTCTCCCCAAATGGCACCCCAGAAGGAGATACGATATGTGATCAAAATATACAGTACATAATTAGATTTTTTTAAACTTATTACAGTAAAAGACACACTGCCACTAATCCCTCTCAAAAAATGCTCCCCTGTGCTTTGGGGAGTATTTACCCATCATTCTTGCTACTTTCTACAGCAGTTCTACAGGTTCTCTTTCATGAGTGTCTTTATAATTGTATTTTTAAAACTATGGCAAATGCTGCTGCTGAATGCCAGCCATGGAAGGGCAGGCTCATAAAAACACGACAGTGTGTCCTCATCTATGTCATTCACTGGATTTTCCACCATGCGACTTCTGGCTCTTCTCAAAGTCAAAATGACCCTGAAAGATTTGAGTCAATTCAGAACATCAAGGCATCTAAGTCCAACCAAAGATACTCAAGAAAGCAGACTTCTGGAACTGCTTCAGAAAGTGGCAGGAATTATGGGATGTGTGTGTTCCAAGTGAGGGCAGGTATTTTGAGGGGAATTAATGGCAATGTACTGTAATACATTTTTTTTTTTAAAAAAATTTTAAATATTCACCATATATTTTGATCACACAACATATTTCCTTCTGGATGGGCTCAGCCAGCCCTAACTTTGCATCCCACCCACACAGCTTTGGGACAAAGTGGAAAGGTCCCATTATAGACTTCACTCTGGCCCTCATCTTGCCTATTGCTGTACACACTGAAGCAGAAAAACCAACCAGACGTTGACACACTCCAGACCTTCTCTTCATGCTCCTCCGATTCCTCCATTAGGGCTTCTTGATCTTAAGCAATCACTGATGCTGCATTTCACATGCAGCTTCCCCCAGTTCTGGTAGCTTTATCAGACTACTTGCAGCTACCTCTGACCTTGGAAATCTCAAGGTTAGTTTTAGGTGTCAGCTTGCCTGGATTAAAGGCTATAAAGGGAATGGATAAACCATTAATTTGGAGGTGTTTCTCTAAGAGTGTTTCCAGAGGAGAGTGATATGTGCATCCTGAGGGCTGAGAGAAAGCTCCATCCTCAATGTGGCCAAGACAATTGGCTAGAGTTGGAGTTGGGGGAGAAAAAGACTGAGAAAAGGTGATTTCTTCTCCTATAGCTAAGACACTCTACTCCTGTTCTTGGGCATTGGAACTCCAGGATCTCTGGCCTTTGGGCTTCAGAGCTTGTACCAGTAGCCTGCAAGGGTCTTAGACCTTTGATGTCAGATGAGAATTACACTTTGGACTTCTGTGTCCAGAGGACTCCAAACTGGTCTGAGTTGTGTAACCAGCATCCTAATTTCTCTGGGTTGCCTCCATAGCCTCCATAGCCTCCATAATCCCAAAACTGATTTGCCCTGTAAATCCCCTCACCTATTCATGTACATATATTCTATTTGTTCAGTCTCTCTAGAGACCCTAATACATCTTCAAAGATTCTTCATTTGATATTTGTATTCCATCCCCATTACTATCATAACTGCAAGAAAGGAGCTGCTGTGAGAGATGCTGGTGATGCCTCAGTTAAATCCCCTGTTTCTGGAAAGACCAGCCTGACTTCTACCTCCAGCATCTGTAGCTTTTTGCCTAAAGGATTTCTCTGGTAACTACAGACTACTCTCCAATATGTTTGCAGTAGGCCAAAACACTATAAACTTAACAATCCCTTAGAATAGCCTTCAATCTATGATAGTCCTTATTCATGGGTAAATACCTAACCCCCATGCCACTCTGATAGGATAATCCTGAGATGTGTCTTCTGTTTGATTCCCAATTCCAATTGTATACAGGGTACATGTGCTCATCAATGGATGGTGTCCCTCTTATTCCTATATCACTTCCTCATCAACTCACTGGTATTTTCTGGGATCACTTTTCTAAATAATTCATTGGATTTGCAACCTTTTCTCAAGAGTCTGTAGCAGCTATCAGAATTAGAAGGCATCTCTCAGGCAATATGGAATCAGTCATAAAAACCTAACTCTTCCCAGTTTCCACATCTCACTTCACTAACAGGTGGAGAGGCAAGATGGTGAGTGATTGTCCATCTTTCAGCCAATTTCTGGAACTCACCTCTGTGGCCACGGGCCACAATAACAGATGGAACAGCAAACATCACATCTCCCATCAAGGCGAGAAACAGGTCTTTTTTTTTGACAAGGTCATCTGTGCCTCCTAAATACTCCTCAGTGGCCACTGGAGCCAGTTTCTCAGAGATGTTCTGAAATGAATCAAGAAAATGATCACCCCCACCTGGAGAGTAATTCAGCTTCTCATGCCAGGGAAAAAGGCTTGTGAGAATGATGAACCTGTCGGGCCCTGTGAAAATTCCTCCTGGGATGATAAAGTGGGAAAAACAGAAGAATAGGAACAGAACTCCAGGTTCCTGATGTTGTTTTACCGTTGAATTGGTCTGTGATTTGGGGCTGCATGCCTGTACTTCATTGATTCTCAATCAATTCCCTTGATTCCTCAGACACTTACTGTAAGAGGGTAGGACTTCCACAAGAGTGATGTGGCTGTCTTTTGGTCCAGCTTGCCTTCAGAGAGTGGAAAGCCCATCATCTGTTTAAAAATATGGTCATATTCTCATGGGCCAGTGGGAATTAACAGGAAGAACCAAATTAACCAACAGAACAAATCAGTACACAATGAAAGTCCTGTTTTTCAGGTCTTAATGGCTCTTGTCTTCAATAAATGTGCCTTCCAAGCTGTGGCACTTGGCTACAACACTGAGCTGTAACACTCAACCATGCCTCTGAGCTGTGGCATTTAGCTGTGATGCTGAGCTGTAACACTTGGCTGTAGCACTGGGCTGCTCTGCTCTGTTGCAACATTGGGAGCTATTGTACTCCAGCATGACTCTCCTGGACTGCCAGCTCCTTCCCCTTCCTAGGGACTCTTGCATTTTTCAATTGTACAATTACTTTTTCTGCAGGCCTCCCAGCCTGGATGCTTTAGGATGCTTAAGTGAAAAGGCAGCGTGTCAGGAGCAATTCTACATAATTTTGGGAAAAATCATTTCACAATTAAATTATGATTAGGCCTAGTTCCTGCCTATAGGTTGGGTATGGGATGTTGAGACATAACTCCATTTTTGCCTCTGGTCACAGCTAAAACCTCAATGGTCCAGTGATGCTGTGATGCTCCAGGACAGGATTACATCATATAAAGACATCCTACGGAGAAACAAAATCATCTGCATAGTTCCTCCTTGCTCTAGGATTATCACTGCCACTGCCCTCTGAGTCATCTGTTGCATTTGTTATTCCCAGTGTACTAATAAAGATGTGGCAAGCTCAGGGTCTTTGTCTTTGCTGCCCAGAGCAGCATTGATCAGTCTCAAAGCTCGGCTTTTTTTTTAGTCTCACTTCTGTCTATATATTATTTAATTTTCCTTGTGCTGTTGTGGCTCACATGAGACTAGAACTTACTGCAGAAATTCTAGTTAATGTCCCCTTTCCCTGTTCCCTACAGCAGAGTGTTTGGGGCTACACCACACACAGGGCTATGTCCACTCAAACCAATTGGACATCTGCCCTGAACTCCAAAAGGGGTTGGATAAAGAAGAGTTCATGAGACCCAGTAATGATAGAGGTTTGACAGTGAATCTAAAAGGCCTCCACATTCTCACCGTTGGAATATACCAGCCAAACTCCTGCTTGTTGATTCCCACGATGTAGGGGACAGTGCTGAAGTTCTTTCCAGCCAGAATCTCTTCTGGTGCCTTTGGAAGCACCACTCCATCAATCACAGTGGTCAGGAAGGGATAGCTCTAGGTAAGAGAGCAGCAGTTTCTGTGACTCCACTTGCCCAGGTACCACCATATCCCCCTCTCTGCCCATCTGAGCACAAGGCTGACACTCCAAAACTGCATGGCCATGAGCAGTGACAACAGAAGCTCAATCTCTTAAAAAGAGGGCCGAGTCATTGTGACCTCAAAGGAAAGGAGAGTTACTGGTTAGCTTATGAAAGGGTGGAAAACTTCACTCAAAGTAAATATAGGTTGAATATTTCTTATTTAAAATGTTTGTGATCAAAAGTGTTTTTGATTTGGAAGTTTTTTCAGATTTTGGAATATTGGCATATTCATAATGAGACATTTTGGAGATGAGATCCAAGTTCAAGCATGAAAATCATTTACTTCTCATACACACCTTACACAGAGAATGAAGGTAATTTTATACAATATTTTCAATGTATCTGTGAGGGCACTGTGGAGGGCACTGGTTGCATTATGTCAGCCCTCAAAACATTTTGGATTTGGGAGGATTTGGGATTTCATATTTTCAGATTAGGAATCCTCAATCTGTCAGATTGATTAGGTACATAGTTCATTCACTATAATTTACAATATGTGATTCAATTTGAAATGTATGTATGTGTGTATGCATGTATGTATGTATGTATGTATCTACCTGTCTGTCTTTCTGTCTATAGTTGATTCTTGTCACTCAATAAGAATACTCTATAAACTTGCCACGAACACTGAATTAGTGAAGACTGAGCCATTGATCTGAGGGGAATTCAGGATAAGCCCCTGGTTACATTTTTTTGTCATTTGTTGAATCTGTCTGTCTTTCTGTCTATAGTTGATTCTTGTCACTCACAATAAGAATACTCTATAAACTTGCCACGAACACTGAATTAGTGAAGTCTGAGCCATTGATCTGAGGGGAATTCAGGATAAGCCCCTGGTTACATTTTTTTGTCATTTGTTGTATGTATAAGTTTTGTTTTAAGATATTTATGTAATACAGATTTCTCAAAAATAATTAATTGCAAGTAGTATTTATTAGTGACAAAACACCAGTCAGGAAGGGCTTAACATTTTCTTTAGCTTCAGCATCTTATACATTATACTTCTTAATATTTTATTTTATTAATTCACAAATTTATCGTTTTCCACAGCTGCATCACATGATATTGATATTATATTACTGCTTCTCAGAATAGACTCATTTACAAACAGTTAAATATCTTTCTCTTTTGGTTGTACTGTGTTGTTTACTCATTAACACTGAACTCACAGTCAATGGTACCATAAGACAAGGCTGAAGGAAGCTCATGCGCCACCTGTATTATATCTTTAAGCCACATCATAGCCTCCTGTATTTAGGAACCCTAGATGCCACTTCAACCCTGAGATCAGAAGCTATTTGAAACAAATAAATATATAAATGACTAACAAAAAGCACCAAAATGCCAAAAAAGAGAGAAAGCTATGGCACTAAATATACCACAAATGAACAGTTCTAGAATGGATAATGAAACAAGACAAAGCATTTCTTCGTTCAATTTCAGATGTGCATCACATGACTCAGTTCTCACTGCTCTGGGCATATCTGCCAACAGCCACAAAATACTGTGGGTTTGACACTGAGGTCACAAGCACATTTTTGCAAATAGGAGAATTCACAAGAACTGAATCTATGACTAATATGGGTTTGACTGTACATATATACTGTGCACTGTACTATGTACCTATTGATCTATCCATCTATAAACAGAGATCTTCACACTGAGCTCTTCACACTCAAGTTAAGAAGTGATAGAGCAATTAAGAAATGATAGAAGCCTCAGTTAAGAAGTGATAGGGCAATACTAATTTTTTTGTTGTTTTTTTTTTTTTTTTTTTTTCAACAGAATGTTTTGTTCCAGAAAAGTAACAGTTTGTGGGACTGGGCAGGCTCCTTCCCAATGTAACCAAATGTTTTGTAACTGTTTGAACTTTTTGTCCTCTCAGGAATGTTCTGTTAGTGCAGCCCTCTCAGGAATGTTCTCTAACCCAGCCCCTCTGCTTCTGTGAGCGTGTTCACACAGCTCGTGTTTCAGTAATGTTCTGTAATTTCACTCCTCTGCTTTCATGAGCCTTGCTCACCTATGCTGTAGATCCCTATATAAGGATGCTCTCATTTCTGGTAGAGCACTTAGACTTAGGAATATAAACTCCTCTGATCCTGCTGGGGTAATAAAGGTTTTTCTCCACCTCTTTCAGTGACCACTGGATTCTTGAATCTTCAAATTGTAACACACTAAAGCTTGGCTGTGCCTCAGAACTGTCAAAGTTGGCAATAGCATGGAACTGTTTCTCTTTGCCACAACAGAAGAGCACCATGAAGAATCTGGGATAAGCTAACACTATATTGACAAATATATTAATTTTAAGTTTTACCTTTGATCAAAAAACATGGTCACAGATTAAGAGTAAACTGATTCACAGGTCACCTTTTGGAAAGATGGTTCTGGGTAAAATTATATGTCCTGCTCAGTCACAAAGGTATAGTTATGAGCAACATGAATTCTGGACTTAGGCTACCTGGCTCTGAATTCTGGATCTGCTACTTACTAGCTGGTAACTTGGGAAAGTAACTTCACTTATATGCGCCTGGGTTTTCTCAGTTATGGAAACATCGGGAGCAAATGACTGAGCACACGCTAATGCTTAGCACAGCTCCTGGCAACTAGAAATGGCTCAATAAATATCATTTACCATTCACTAGCACTGCTATTAGATTCCACATGAGCACCTGGCCTATCTCCTACATTTTAGCTCCATACAAGAGGCCATATTTTTCTCTAGAACAGATAGAATGGGACAACTCCTATGACTTGAGATTCTATGGTTGCCAGGACCTGTGTCCACTCTTCAGAGGAAAGCGAATGATGGGCCAATTTGGCTAAGGGACAGGTTTGGTAAAGTAAGTATGATTGGATCCAGCACAAAGCACCCAAATCCTAACCCAATTGGGCTGAGACTAGAGAATAGGAGCTGGATACAACAATAGCTTAGAAAGGCTGCAGGGAGTGCTGGCAAAGGGAAGAAAATACATAATGGGCTATGTGGAATAGATGCTTGCTATCTGCAGTGGACTGAGTGAATAGTATTAGGGATGAACATTATCGATAGGTGAAAAGGTGAGAATTTCCAAACAGTAGGACCAGCCCAATCAAAGGGATATGGGTGTCAGTTTGTTTAATAAATCTAATTTCAGGAACTGTGAAGAGCCTTGGGATTGGAAAACTGCCTCAGGGTAAGGATAAAAGCCATGGCCATTTGATGTAGTGTATGTTTAGCACAATATCTGACACATCTGTGACACTCTATGTTTTGAGGTCTAACTGAATGGAGGTGAAGGGTTTTGTCTTGTAAGCAAGGTCAAGTTTTTAAAAAGGAGGATGACATGCTCTAAATATTTAGAAGGGCAAGTCTAGTGATACAACCGGGTGTGGAAGTAGTGAGGGAAAGATGAAATAGAAAATAATAAAAGTCTGGAAGACAGATGATGAAGGCCTGAGTCAGGCAGCATTTTGGAGGGGAACCATGAGAGAAACAATGCTGTCCCCTCAGTGGACACTGTGGCTGTCCTGTGAGGCCACATGACATCCTTCCTTCCTTTTTCTCACATCCCACATTTTGTCTTTCAGCAAGTCCTGTCAGCTCTTCCTTCAACAATATCCTGATCTCACCCATTTACTCTAGCCCCATTGCTGCAACCCTGTTGTAATCCACCAGGACCCTTTGCCTGGGCTCCTGCAGCACAGTGGCTTCCCAGATGGTCTCTCTACATCTGTCTTGCCCCTCCTCCTATCTAGTCTCTAACAGAATCAGAGACCTTTGTGAAATATGAGGTCAATTCACCGCTCTGTTCATGACCCCTGAGCACCACCTGCCCACCTCACTTTGAATCACAGCCTGTTTTCTCCCACTCACCACCCCATCTTCACCTCTCTGGATCCCAGCCTCTCATCTCCTCTCACCGGCATCACGCCAGAAGAACTGGCCTACTGCATCACGGCCTTTGCAGCTGTTGATTCTTTTACCTGGAACACTCCACCTCAGGTTTCCTGACTGCTTATTCTTTCTCATTCGGACCCAGGTGTCACCTACTCATCAAGCCATCCTATCCCCACAATTTATCTTCGCATTACTACCCACCTCTGCCTCCATTTCTCATTTTCTTTTTCTAACCTTCACTCTGACCATCACTGAACAAACCACACTGTTTACCTAGTTTTTCTACTGCACACTCCTTCCCCTGGAATGGAAGGCTTCAGGAAGGCAGAGAACCTTGTCTGTTTAACTTCTATATCCTACCTACTACAGATTCTGCTGCAATAGAATGTCCTTGTGAAATCTTTGCAGATTAGATGATTAGATCTCATTTCATTCTCAAAAAGTCTCTAAGAGAAGTGCTATGATCCCCAGGGAGGGAGCAGAGGACAGGATTTTTAGGTGCTGCAAAGTTAACATCACCAGACCTAGGAAATCCACCGGGAGGTAAGAGTGGAGGAAGGAGGAGAAGGGAGGGGACTGTGGGAGTTTCCTGGGTGATGGGAAATGGTAGTGTCCTCAGGGCTGAGATGCTATGCTCCCTTCAGGCAGAGCTAGCCAATGCTGTGTCCTCTTAGGAGACTGGTCCTCTTCAATCTGTGTCCTCTCGGGAGGTTTGTCCTCTTCCTGAGCCCCTTACCTAGTTCTCGCTGTCTCCAGAGAGTGGAAGGTTCTAGTGAGACCTAGTCCTACAGGGCCGTTTTGGGAGAAGAAAATGCAAATGCAAAGGGAATGGCTTAGTCTAGGGGACAGAATTCTAACTAGGAGAACTGGACTGGAAGTGAAGGAACTGGATTTCAATCCTGCCTCTGATTCTTTTGGCTGTGTTAACCAGAAAGTCACTACCCCTCCTCTACCTCAGAAATACACACACAAGGAGTGACTATGATTCCACAAAGGAGATTTCTTTCATTTATCGTGAATAGATGCTTAAAGGTGTTAACATTTAAAATTTGTGATTAAAAAAATCAAAAGTCCTTACCTCTCTGGGGTCTCCGTGTAAATTGAGAGTAAAAAATTTCTGTAAAACAAAGGCAGAGGATGGGGTAAGAAAATTTTCTTGGAGAGAAGCTGAACCTCTGAGCTGTGCCTCAAAGGCATGTATTCTCATCTAGCAGCTCCCTGGCTGGGTCTAGCAAAAGTGGGCAGGACATAAGCTTCATGAGAAAAGTGTAGAGGAGTAAGCCAGGGAAGAGGTAGGCACCAATAATGGAAGGACAAACCGTGAGACCCTGAGTCAAGGTCACTGGAACTCTGGGCAGGAAGTCCGCTATAGTGCCTACCCTTTTCTTATTAGCTAGATCTTCTTGTCCCACAAGGACATAAGCTGAAATATTTTCCTCTTTCCTGGCATTAGGAGGCAGTTTTGTTTTAATTCTTTAATAACCTTGGTCACCTTATGTGAACTATGAACTAAAACTCAAGCCCCAAAGTCACACTGGACTCAATCCATGGGCATACAGGCAATCCTCTCTGTTCTAGTGGTCTGCCATGGAGGTACTGGAGTATCTTCCAGTTTCCAAGGTCCATCCAGATTGAGAAATAAGGGACTCAGGTGACTTCTGAGCTCACATTCATGACTTCCCCTACAAATGAGTAGTTCCCATGGGCCCTGGATGCTGTTATCCCCCTGAGCTTCCCTATGTGGACAACTTGACATGATTGCCCATCAGTCTTTTGAGTGTCATTAGCTATATGGAGCATCCCAACTGGCTATAGTGAATGTGCTCTCTCTCTGTGTTCCCACTTCATTTAACCCATGGAGTACTTGGGAGTGCTTCCCTTTGGACAATTTCTTGTTCACAGGGACTTTGCTCAATTCATATCTGTTTGCTCCCCTTGACACTCTTCCTCTACACCTTTACCATGAATGGAAGCAGGAGTATAAGGCTACAAGGTGCAGCTCAATACACAGAGCACTTGTGAACTGGATGAACATATGAATAGAGGGTGAAAACCAGAAAATAGATGATGGATGGATTATTGCTTTTGTTGGAATGATGGCAGTGTATAGATATGATAACCGGATAATGCATAGATTTTAAAATTATTGAAGGAAGATGAATAAAACATTATGGATGAGTTGATATTTGATTTATAGAAGTATATCAATGGATTGGCTGAATTAGTGGCTGTATAGATGGATAATTAGAAAATGGATAAAAATGGGTTAATGGACCGATTGATGAGTGAACAGGTAGAGAGATGTTTCTTTCGTAATCGTAATTGAAGCACAATCTTAGAAAATCTAAAAGATTTGGTTATTGTAAGATTGTAATTTAGATAGATTCTTAATTGACTATTAGATATATTGACACTTTTCAGAAAAATCTTTGTGTTTAGTATCTTAAACCTCAAAATTAAAATTTGTGCTTACTTCTGTGAATATAAAAATATTTAATTTCCTACAAATACATCTGAATAAATAATGAGAAAATTTAAGTTTTTAGAGTTGGGGATTATATAATTTTTATTATATTATTTTTGGATATTTTTATCATTTGAGGTATTTCATAATAAAAATGGAAATACAAAATACTCAGTTTGGATCAGGGGGCTGACACTGACCAGCACAGGTGAGAAATTGACTTAGAAATTGATTTATTTAGGACAAGGGGAGAGCTGAATGGCTAGAGTCTAGGACCAAGTACATGGGGTGAGGTCACTAGAATGAGCATGCTTACCATTTTCAGTGTAGTCTGCAAGAGCTCTTCCTCTGTCTTCTGGCGCAAACAGTGAACCATGACAGCTGAAGAGGTGGTTTCACATCCAGCAATAATAGCAACTTGCTGCACAGATCACAGACAGGAGCAGAGTTCAAGAGCAGTGTTCCTTTCCTTTATCAGTACTGACAGAGGGGTATTATCTCATGCTAAAATTTTGAATGCAACAGTGGAGGCAGTAACCCGAAATATTCCAGACCAAAAGGGGTAGCTTCTGGTTTCTGCAAAGTGTTGCCTCACTTGCTAAATGTGGCATAAACCAGTTACAAAATAGTTGTGTCTTCTGTAACCTTATATCTGTTAAAATGGTTTGATGATCTGAAAACTGAATATCCAAAGAATAGCAGTATGGATGGGTATTGTAAGAATGGAATTACAAATTCAATTTTCTACTTTTTAAGTCCATTGGTACAAAGAGTTATTAAGTAAATCACTCATCTTCTAAAACAGAAAAGAAAGCTATTACTCTGAAACCACAGGGGAGTTTCTAAGCCCATAGGCAGATGAGGTGGTCATATGTACTGGCAGCCAACTGTAGCTGGGGAACAAGTCTTAGATGGATTGAGGCATGCCTTATGATGGGGCCGTGGTGCATATGCGTGGGTTCCCCAGTACCTCATACATGATGAATTGTAGAATCAGTGCTGGGGAAGAAAGGAAGAGGAAGGAGGGAGGGAGAAAAGAAAGAAGGGAAGGTGGCAGAAAGGAGAGAGAAAAGAGGGAGGGATGAAGGGACGGAGAAGAGAGGGGGAATGGGAGAAGAGAGAGAAACAAGAGTGTTGGCTTCCTTTCACTGTATAATTTCTAATTTCTGTTTGTTTACTAAATGCAGCCTCATACCTGCCGCCTCTGTTTCCATGAATAATAAGTTCCTCCTTGAACTAAACCTTGACACATGGGCACGTGTTCCAATAATCAAATAATTCTCAACAAAATCTCAAAAGTTCTACAAATTCTTTTATTTTGCTTTTATTTATACTTTGAATTTCTCTTATGACAGAAGCCATGTGGTATTTAAGCTTGTGTGTCTGACTTAGCATTATACTTTCTTTTTTTCTTTTTCTTTTTTTTTTTTGGTACTGGGGATCGAACTCGGGTCCTTGCACTTGTGAAGCAGGCCACCGAACCACTGAGCTAAATCCCCGGCCCCCTTAACAGTATACTTTCAGCTTTCCTACAACTAAAATATAGATAAAAATAAAGAAAACAGGGATCTAGGTCTTTTGTAAATGGATAGGGGACCAAGAGATGGAAGGAGAGAAGGGAGGGGAAGTGGACATAAAAATATTTAAGACACATAGTGTACATATACCAAGTATCCGCAATGAATGTAATTATGATATGTCATAAATGACTTAAAAGATAAAAAAGAAGAAAGGCAACAAGGGAAATGGATCTAGAGGCAGATGGAGAGAGGTGGGACAGGGAAAGGGAATAAAAAGTATCAAGATATGTTAAGTGCATATATCTATTTCCTAATATGAATATAAACATTTGTACTGCAAACATATATTAATAAAATTTTTTCTAAATTTTACAAGTTCTTGGTGCCTCTATTTCTTCCTTCCTGCTATATCTGGATGCTGCTCCAAATATTCCACCAAAACCAGCTCTCACAGATCTATCCACACCCTCCACATCACAAGCTTCAATGGACAGTCCTCAGAAGAACCATCAATGTTGATCACTTTTACCTTTAGCCCTCCGCTGCTACCCAGATAAATAAAAATCCTTACCACAGTTCCATACTACATGGTCCATGCCAATGTTCCCCACCTCCACTCACTATGAGTTCCCCCTGCTTTCTCTGCTCTGGCCACATCAGCTTCTTTCTTCACTCTCTTATAGTGAAGATGTTCAACTTCCTGATTCTGCCTCATCAATCACTGTTTCAGAAAGCCTTTCCTAGTAACTGCCCTCCTACACCAGCTAAATGCTTTTTAGGATTTTGTTTTCACATCAGATTCTGTTGTCTCTCCATTAGTTGTGTCACAATTCAAATCTTATTTGCGAGATTACACAATCTCCTTAACAGGAACTGACACTTTGAAAAGTTGTAAGGTATGTGGATATGTCAAAGTATTTGTTAAGTGAATGAATGGATGGAATATCCAGGTAGCAGCCCTGCTTACAAAGTTTCACTGAGAAATCCTTCAGACCCACATCCTTTATGTGAACCTATAGAGATATGAAATAATCACAAGCCTCTGCCCACTGCCCAACCTAGCATCCTGCCTTGATGTACTTTGAGAAATGTGGTCATTGGATAGTGTGTTTTACTGACCGAGCTCTAGTTCCACCTCTGCCCCATGCTCTTGCTGATCTTGATAGATCATTTCCATGCTCTGCTCCAGTGCTCTTGTTATAAATTGGGTGGATAGATCAGGCGTCTCCTTGCCTCGGACTCAACCACTGTCACTTCAGTGATTCTTCGATGATGTCAACTGAATTCCACCACCAGAAAGACCCCTGTGGATTCCTCCAGAACTTAGGAGAATGTGCAGGAGTGGTCCAAGGTGAGACCTACCTCAGCCCCAGCCCGGGTACTCTTCCTGAACAGACATGGAGTGAGGGCCACACCACTTTCAGAAATTGCCCGGTGGAAGAGGTTCTTGGTCAAGGGTGATAGTACCTGACAAGGAAGTGCAGATGAGAAGAGTTTATGCTCAAAGGGAGAGGGTCAGTGACTCACTCTCTGTAAGGGTTCTTCATAGAGCCTTAGCCTAGAGTATAGAACTTACAGCACATGATAGCTCTTATCTGGCTTGGCCTGATTCTTGGACTCATTTTAGGACCCAGCTTTGCTAACATAACCTCAACAAGGAGGAGCCCAGAGTCAGAGACTGAACAGGACATTTGTGGGGCATCCTGATAATCAAAATAATGGAAAAGACATTTTGACAAATTCCAGACACAAATTATGATTCAGCATTTCTATTATTCAGAATGTATCTTAGAAAACTGATCTTGGAGGCACACCCACCCCTAAGTGAGGTAAGCCTACGTGTTTAAATGATTAGAAAGTGGAGAGAAAGAGTTATCCAAAGTAGGAAAGGAAGAATGCCACTAATTCAGGCTACAACTGGAGATTCTCATAGCTCAAGGACCTTAAGCTGAACTCTCTCTTTCCTGAGAGCCAAGGAGCATTTGGGCCTTGGTTCTCCACCATCTGATGCAGTGTAATGACTAGTCAGGACTTTTCAGCAAAGATGCGTATGGCTGGAGTGGCTGGCCTCCAAGACCTAAAAGCAACCTTGTAAAGCCAGAGGGAGGGACCTGGTGTCAGGAGCACTTACAAGAACAGAGACACTTTCACTTCCTGATGACTCTCCAAAGATGGTCACAGAGTCTGGGTTCCCTCCAAAGTTGGCAATGTTGTCCTGGACCCAGTGCAGAGCAGCTACCTGGTCCAAGTGTCCCCAGTTTCCCCTGCTGTGTTTGTCCCCAGTGCTGCAAGAGAACAGGGTGAGGATGGGATGGGGGGATGCCATGGAGAGCCCCCAGGACCTCAGGTAGCCCAAGATCTTGCTACTGTTGGATGGAGTTTGTCTCCAAAGGGCTTATAGGTGAGAGGCTTGGTCCTTCATGTTGCAATTTTAGGAAGTGGTAGAACTTTTAACAGGTAGACACTGGTGTGAAAGGTGATTGGGATATGGTGGGTTCAGCCTTCAGGAAGAATTAATGTAGTTCTTCATGGGACTCTGGTTAGTTCTTGAGAGAGGGTAGTAATAAAAGAGCAAAACCAGCCTCTCTTTACTTTATGGTTTCCCTGACTATTACATGTATACCCACCATGATGGCATCTGCCATCAGCAAAAGGCCCTTACCACAGCTGGTACCATGTTGTTTGGACTTTCAGGTTCAAAACTATAGGTTAAACCCTTTTACTCATGGTGTAGCCAGCCTCAGTTACTTTGTTACAGTACAGGAAAATGGACTAATATAGAAAACTGGTATTGAAGAGGCTATTGATATAGCTTTACTTGAAAATGTGGAAGTGACTTTGAGAAAGAAAGATTTAAAAACTTTGAAGAAAGAGGCTAGAAAAAGTCTCTAAATTGCTATAAGTGAAATGCTATGGGTGATTCTGGTGAGAGCTCAAATGACAAGAGACCAGAAAAATTGTCTCAGATGGAGATGAGGATCTGATCAGAGTAAATACTACCCTTGTTACATATTGTAGAGAACTTGTGTGAACCAGATCCATGCAATAGGCTTTGTGGAAGGCTAAATTTGAGAGTGATAGAGTAGTTTATTTAGTAGAAGAGATTTCTAAGCAGCAAAGCGTTCAGGCTATTAAGTGGAAAACATTGACTGCTTTTAGTGTGATTTATGTTAAGATTGGAGAGAAAGGGGAAGTAAAGTGGAAAGATTTAGGAATTTTCACTTGGAAGGGAAGGAACAAAGAAAATTATGTAAAAGTTGACCCAGGTGACTATTTGCTAGAGATTAACAGGGATAGGAATCATCAGGACAATTGCAAAAGGCTTAAAACCATTTCAGAAATCCCTGAGGTAGCTATTCCCATCCCAGGCCCAGAGGCCTTCCAGGGCACAGTGGTTTCAAAGACAAAGCCTGGAGCATTCTTTATGAGCTTGTTGACCAAGGATGCCTTGAGATTCTGCTCCCTGATCTGAGTCTACTCTTGCCATCAGAATGATAGATGCCCTTGTAAGGAAGCTGGGAATCCTCAGTAAAGGTGCGACAGACTCAATCTGTCGAGAACACTATTGACTTGATTCTTGCATGTGCCAAATACCAAAAAGAAATGAGTTGAGTGGACTCCTGCACTCCTCCGGGAAGCATTGCTCACTGGAGTCAGAAGCTCTGACAGTCTCCTCTCCAGGGATGCAGTCCTTCACCCACAAGCATTTACTGATCTCCCTCCACCCAACATCTTTCTTTTCCCTGAGAAGATGTATTTTCATTGAACTGTTTGGCTGGCTGCTCATTGCCACCGTAGAGGACTGCGGCAGTGTGCTAGGGCAAGACATGTGAAGGGAGATGAGTGTTAGAGGTGGAAACATGAAAAATGGGCCATCCAGGATGAAGAAGAGTTTGACAAACTGAGTAGCGCTGTAGGCAGAAGAAAAACCCAGAAGCAAGAGGTCGAGCTTGACTGGTGAATAAGAAGGTAAGTGGGGTCCAAATATTAAGAAACACAAATGCTTTCTTAAGGAACTTAGCAAAAGTGCCTTTGAATGCTGACATGACTATAACTGGGCCAAAAACTTTTGCTTGGATGAGAAATGTGAAGTGAAAAGAGTGAGTTCTTTACCTGAAGAATCCCCAGATTCCCAGGCGGTACTGAATGGTCACCACCACCACGTTCTCATGGATAGAGAGTGGCACTCCATCAAATGTTGATGCCCCACCAGATAATAAACCACCTCCATGGATCCACACCATCACCTGAAGAAGCAACCAAACTGGTTATAGGAGGCATAACAGGAAACACATAGGATTGATTGTCTCTTGCTGAAGACTAAGGAGGTATCACCCAAAGTAATAAACACAATTATGAGGCAACCCTGGTATTTCAGTTTCATCTTAGTTAATTCTTTAGTGGTGAATTCACCTTCCCTGTACAGGATTGATTTTTCAAGACGAACACATACCCCTGATTGTGCCCCTTCCTAATGTGCCTCCACTCTTCTTTCTCCACAGCACAGATTCCAACCACTTCTTAAGCCAGGCTCACATCTACCCTTCTCCAGGAAGTCTTTGACTAGCATTACCTGAGTCTGAGTGCCTACTGTGATAAGTCTGTGAGGAGACTTGAAGAAAAGAGGGGATATGATAATTCTTAGTGTTGTATTTAAAAAGCTCATTCTAGAGCTAAGTAGTGAGCATGGAAAAATCAATATTATAATAGTATTGCTTGATAAACAAAAGAATGTATGAACTACATATTATATACTGTTTTAAGTACTTTAAGAAATAAACTGTCCCCGGGGTAGATACTAATCATTGTTCCAATGACAGAAAAATTGAGGTAGTTAAACTGTCCAAGTTCCTGCAGCTAATAAATAAGTAACATCAGGACTTTAGCCAGCCTGCCAGGTCACACAGTTCATCTGCCAACCTGTCCTGGACTGCACCCCTTGATCACAGCTTCCTAAACTGGTTGTTAGGACAAGAGGAAGATCCTGCAGCACCACCTAGTGTGTCATCAGTGCTGGCTCTGTGTACTTAGCCAGGACTGAGATGAAGCTTGACTGTCATCACTGCGTACTCATATGTGATTAATCCCATCTGAGGGAACACAGAATGGGAGAAATATAGAAATTTCCTAAGGCTCTCAGCCACTCAAAAGCAGATCTAGGATGTAAACTCAAAAATCTCTCCGTACTTTTCAAATCTGTGTTCATAGATAGAACGACATAGGCTCTCAGGCCCCTTGTTTCTCCCACATCTATGATCTCTGTTTGTGTGCCAGGTAGACACTGAGTCAAGGTCATCTATGACTGAAAACTGGGCCCCAGGGCTGGTTGGCAATGATACTTTGATGAAGTCTGTGAAGCCCAGATGGCAAGATCTTTGAAAGAAGGGTTCCGTATGGTCATGATTTCCTGTTACCCTAACCCCCAAGTCTGTGTATACAGGGGCAATGAGTACATAAAAAATCGAAGGAGAAAAAAATGAGGGAACATTTGTCCCTACTTCCTTAGGCCTTACAAAGCATATGTGGGACCAACCTTGAATCCACAATTTCACACTTCCTTCCTCACTCTTGCACTCTGTGCCAGGGTATTCCTAGATACTTAATGGGTGTTGACACACTCTTTTCTTCTATTCTACCCCTCTTTTCCAACACACCCTTACCTAACCTTTGGCCTGTAAGTAGCAGCTTTCCTCACCTCTGACTCTTCATTTATTTTGGAATTACTGAATCATGAATCATAAGCCATGTTACATACAATTAGGGAGGAAAATGAGCCACAGAAAATCCCAGATGTTTGGCTAATAGCAAATAAAATCACTTCTGAGGTTGTCTGAGGTTCTTGTCTCCAACACCTGGCATGGGACAGTGAAAATTTTCACAGAGGCATTTTGGTGTGCTAGAGAAAGGCCAGTCACTTGGTTTAATTTCCTAGTCTATGTCCAAAGACATTGGCTTGAAGATCTGAAAATCAAAGTTCCTGTTTTATTGATTGTAATATGTGACTTCTCCCCACTTTCTTGTCTTAGTTTTTTAAAAGAAAGTGTTGGGGTTGGAGATTAGTTTAGTGGTAGAGTTCTTACCTAGCTTGTGCAAAGCTCTGAGTTTAAAACAAATAATGCCATGTTACTGGTTTATCTCTAGGACTTTTCCCAGCTCCAACTTTATTGGAAATTGTTTTTAGCTAATTTGGATATTAAATTCTTAAACTAACAACTAAAGAAATAATAGTTTTACTTTTATTATTTTGAGAGAACTTAGGAAAAATAAAATATGCTTTTTATATATACAGCCATCTCTTCCAGAAGCTCACTGAGGGAAACTGAGGTATTTAAATTATCTTTTGATAATAATCAGCCATGATGCCTCTGCCTTGGGTTGTCTTTGTCCACTCTACTCTTCAGTGGAAGGTCCTGGATGCTGAAAGTCCCAGGTGTGAATCCGACATTCCCACTGCTTACTGTCAGTCGGCTTTTGCTTGTCAGGTTAGCAGGAGAGTAAATATTCAAGTAAAGACAGTCTTCTGAGTACTCAAGAGGAAAGTTTTCCAGTCTGTTGGAAAATATCTCGGAGAGCACTGGACCTGTTCCTGTGAGTTGGGAGCACCTGGTGAAGAGAGAAAGAACCCCTGAATTCAGACAGATCTAAGCCAGGTTCTTCTTAGCCCAAGCAAAGCCTTTGACTGGTTTATTCCCATCAGTGGAGTTGTTATAACAAGATTTAAGACACCAGAATGGATAGGAGGCTATCTGGGGGTCCTGGTAAAAGCCCTTGGACTTTCTAGGGTCTCCAAAGGCCATGCAGAGTGAGCAGCCCTTGACAACTGACTCTCATCAAACAGCAGATTCTAAGAAGTCCCGATTTCAGACAGTTAAGGAACCATCAGGCTTGTACATGGCACTGCTGAGGGAAGAAACCTATGTAATACAATGAAATGGTCTCACCATTATCCACCTCACATCAGATCCTGAGGTGGCCCAGGCTCAGGTCCAGAAAGAGTTGGGATGTGTCTCTCTAACCACTGGGTCAGGCTTCAGGTTTGGTTCCTGGGCATCTTCCAATACAGCTTGGGTCTCTTCCTTGGGTCTTCCTCAAGTCTATCTGCACCAGGGAGCCCCAGTAACTTTGGAATCCTTATATGAGTCATTTCAAATCTGGGCTAACAGTATTCCCTATGGTTGAAGAGGTCACAGGCTCAGAGAACACAACATTCAGTCCATTTAAAATCTCTGGAAGCCCCACTGAAGATGGGTTGATGCACACAAAGCCAGAGTCCAAAGATTGGAGCAAATAATCCCTCAGCATGCAGGTATTGTAAAACAAGCATCAAGAATATTTAGGGAAATATGACTTCATTGAACAGAGTTAGGCACCAGAGAGCAATAGTGAGAGAGAAATATGGTCTCTCAGACAAATAATTCCATATAGCCAATGTTCTGCTTGTTTTAAGGAAGTTCAATAGATTTCAAGACTATAAAGGCAAACATTCATAAATGCATCAGAGAAATTAAACAGAATGATTGAGATGTTAAAATGAATTGAAAGCCTGCAGTTGAAAAGTGCAATGAAATGAAAGATTTGTTTGGAAGCATCAAAAACAAACTTCACCAAGTGAAGCAAAGAAGTAGTGAGCTCAAAGCAGGTTATTTGTAAACACATAGTCAGAGGAGGAATAAGGAGCCATAAACATACACCTGAAGACATATGACCTCTTCTATACACGGTGACAGGAAAACTAGCTATCCACATGAATCCAGATTGCATCTAGACTTATATCAAAACTAAAATCAAAATGGATCAAAGATCTAAGTATTAAAACAGAAAAATTTAATCTGCTGGAAGACAACATAGCTAAAACTCTTTGAAGTCATAGGCACAGGCAAGGACTTTCTGAAGAAAAACACAGTTGCAAAGGAGATGATACCAAGAATCAACAAATGAGAACACAGCAAATTAAAAGGCTTCTGTACAGCAAAAAAAAAAAAAAAAAAAAAAAAAAAAAAAAGAAAAGAAAAGAAAAAAAGCAGAGTGAAGAGACAACCTGCAGAATGGGGAAAACATTGATCATTTGTTCCTCAGACCGAGAACCAATACTCAGAATATATATAAATAACTCAAAAAATTAGATCCTCCCAAATAAAAGACCCAATCAAAAATGGACCAGTGAAATGAAAACAATAGATACTTCTCAGAAGAAATACAAATGGCCAGTAAATACATGAAAAAATGTTCAACATTGCTGTCCATTAGAGAAATACAAATTGAAACAAGACTAAAATTCTTTCTTACCTCCAAAAGAATGGCCATCATCAACAAATCAAACAAAAACAAATACCAGTTAGGCTTCAGAGAAAAAGGGAATGTAAAATAATATGATCAGTATGGAAATTAGAATGTATATTCCTCAAAAACGAAAATTAGAAATTCCATTTGACCCACTGATTCCCCTTCTAGATATCTTCCCAAAAGAGTTAAAGACATCTAATTGCAGGGAAACATGCATACCCATGTTTATAGCAGTAAAATCTGAAGTAGGCAAATTATGGAAGTAGATTATATGTCCAACAACAGATGAATGGATAAAGAAAATGTAGTATTTACACAGAATGGAGTGCCATGGTGCCCTAAAGAGGGATAAACTTGAATAATTTGTAAGGAAATGTGTTCACCTTGAGACCATAATATTAAGTGAGATAAATCAGATATACAACCTTAAATATCACATTGTTTCTCTTATATGGAAAAATCCAAAGTATAAATAAATTTAGAAGCAAAACAAAAGATAGATCATAGAAAACAGAGAGACAGATCTTTGTCAAATAGGAAGGGGATCAAGAGATGGAGGGAGACGGAAGAGGGAGAGAAGGGGATGAAAAGATAATTAAGATGTGTTATGTATAGGTACTAACACCCTAAAAAAGAGAGTAATCATTATGTACTGCAAAGATGTACTAAGAAAAAGCTAAAAACTAAAAAAAAAGAAAAAAGAATGAAGTGAACTTATGAGATCAGTTGGACAATCTCAAATGAGAAAATATTCAGGTTATTAGAGTCGAAGAGGAGGATGAGAAAGACAAAGAGGTAGAAGAGATGGTAACTGAGAATGTTCCAAACCTGTAGAAATACAGTAATACCCAGATAAAACAAGGCCAAAGATCACGCAGCAAGATCCAGAATCAAACACTGAAAGATTAAAGGCAAAGAGAAAACCCTGAATGCAATGAGAGAAAAGAAGCGAATAACATAACAGGGCTCCAGAAAACCTTTCCCAGACAAACAGAATCAGAAGGGATTCATTCTTTCCTACTTGTCCTACAAGAAAGTTTAAAGGGAGTTCTTCAAATTGAAAGAAAATGACTCCAATGTGGAACAAGGAAGCATGCAAAGCGGGTGTGCTTTCACTGGTCAAAGTAAATATACAGACAATTATTATTATGTTAAAATTATAGTTACCCTACACAAACTACTGACACCTTTAAAAAGACACTACTAAAATAATAACTACATGAATTTATTTATGATAAAGAATATAAAATTATGTGATATCAAAAAATTCAAAATGGGAAGAATAGATAGTGCAGATTTGGTTTTCTTTTTTATCAAACTTATGGTACCATCAGTTTAAAATATTTATAATGTCTATATTATAAGGTTTTTTGTAAACTTTATAGTTATCACAAAGCAAAGAACTATGATAGATACACTAAAATGAAAACATACATTAACGCTAAATCAAAAGGTTAAAAACACTAAAGAAAACAACTTAATAGCAAAGCAAGAGAATAAGAGATGAAGAAAGGACAGAAAATCTACAAAAGCTAAGATCCTGATAGAGGGCAGTGGGGACTTGGGGCTTTTTGTCCCAGCCTCAGGATGATTGGAGAGTAGAAGCCTTTATCTGCGCGTGAAGAGGTACATTCATTCAGACACACCTGGGAGCGGAGAACTTACAAAGTCAATGTGTCTCACATACCCACATCTTCAGCCAAGTTTCAAGATGTCCCTCATCTGCTCAACTGTTTTTTCCAAAGTACTAATCACTACTTATACTCTAACATATCACATATAATTCATGTTTTTACCTTGTGTTTTATCTCTCTCCCTCCCAGAATGTAAATTCCATGAAGCCACGGATCTGTGTTTTGCTCACTAGTGGGTTCTGAAAACCTATAACACGCTTGGGAACATCACAGTTATACAATAAATACGCGCTGAATAAAGGGTCCTAGACAGATGTGACAATTCTGGAATGCTTTGTAAATATCTAGTGTTCCCTAGGAGTTCAGAACAAAGTATGAGCTGCTTAGAGAATTGTTTTGTCTCCTGCACCATGCTGGGTCAAACAAGCTCAATGAAAGAGGCAAAAGCAACCTCCCCCAACTTACATGGGAGGGTAAGAGGTGGTGTTCTTCACATTGTCCCATGGCTCTGCTGGCTGTGGAGGAGCAAACCTCAGGGATCCAAGAGGGGGCTTGGCAAAAGGGACTCCCAGGAAAACGGCCACAGGCTGTGCAAATCCTTCCAGGCTGATATATTTCCCCAGAACTTTGCCATGCGCGGTGTCTACCACTGGGGGCGAGGATTGCTGGGTTGCTGAACATGGAGAGGAAATAAAATCCATCAGAGGGGAAAGCTTAGACCTAGATTCCAGTTGAGTTTTGCCACTTTTTAGGCATGTGACCTTGAACAAAGTCACCTACATCATTTAGGCTTCTTAGGCAAACAAGCTTTTATGTACAATAAAGATTGGGAAATAGTTTGTTATGTAAAACGAGGATGGGGAAATCTGTCTTTCTTCAGAGGCCTGGTTGAAAGAGCAAACTAGAATTAGAAGTATACAAGCATTCACCACAAAATGAATGCAAAAAGGAGAGCTGCTGTCAGGAATAAACAAGGCTTTGAGTTCCTACTTACAAGCTTCTGGAAGCTTGTGTCTTTCAAGATGCAGGCGCTAAACTACAGACTGGAGGAAAGACTGAACAAGAGGTGGCTCCCATTCTCAGGAGGGCTGATCCTGTAGGGAGATGGAACCACACATGTGCTTCATCTAATTCCGGGAAGAAAGAGGTTGCATCCTGCACGAAGAACCCCACTAGACAGGTTCCGTGGGAGAGTGGATGGTAAGAAGTCACAGGTAATAAGATGCTTCAGGAGGAGGTCCCACAAAACTGGAAGACAGAGGCATCCACCTGAAAGTGGGGGTGCACAGCATGGGTGTGCGTGACCTCATTGCTGAGAATAAAGCACAGAAATGGCTTAGGTGTGACTGAGCGCATGCACCAGAGAGGTGGCAAGAGAAAGGTATAGCATCAGGGAAGCTGAGAGAAGAGGAAGAGGGGCCGGCAGGAGAGCACAGTGCTTCAGAGAGGTGACAGTGGATAAAGTCAGAAGATAAATCTCTAGTTGTGGCCTGCATTATCTCAGTAATAATTTTTCAGCAAAATGAGGTGAGTAGAACCCAGACTTCCAAGGGTGAAAATGTGAAAGGAAAAGGGAGGCTTAAACAAGAATGGTAACAACAGCAATCACCCCTGAGGTTCCATGAGATGGTACATACTGAACAGTTACCGTATGCCAAACATGCTTTCTGCATCCCTTCAGTCAGTCCTTAAAAAAGCCTTGCTATGTGGGCAATAACAGAACCATGTTACACACCAGAAAACGGAGGAATTGGAAACAGCCCATGTGTACTTCCTAAAGTTGGAAGTGGGTGGTACTGTCAGGGTGACTAGAACTGAAGGAATGTTCCACTCCAAATTTGGGTCCCTTCTGAACTCTGCCTTAAGGCAGTTTGAGGTCTGTCACATCACCAAAGAGAAGATATCATGTAGATGGGTCTTCTAGAAGGGGCCTGTCAGGGCACTGGTACCTGAGTACTATTCTGGGTTTGGGAATCAGAGATAGACCAGGGCATGATTTTCCAGGTGGCCTTGGGAGAGTCTCAATTTCTCAGTTAATACAATAGCACAAATGCATGTTGAGGTCTCTTGCTATAGACCTGTCTTAATAAATTGTTTAATTCTGTGTTTAATGCTTCTGAGACCTTACCCTGGAGCAACTGTCATTCCTTGAGTCCCTTCAATTCAGATCTCAAATCACAATCACCTGCTTTATCAAGGTCTCATACCCCCAGCCACCATCTGCTTGCTCCAATCACGCACAAAGAGACACCAGAAGGACAGACTCTGTGCCTGAAAATCCATGAAGTTATTCAAGTTAGCCAGTCCTATACTGGATTTACCTGCCCCCCTCCTCCCTCTAGAGAAAACCTTGATAAACGACCTTGTCCAGAGTCCCCTCCTTGCTCTCTCCCTGCTCACTGACCCTGGTGTTTCCCTTTTTCCCAAGCAGCGTGACTTCTCCTCTTGGGAACTATGAGCGACAGATATTTTCCCAATGGCCATTGAACCTTGGTCTAATTTTACCATATGTCAAATCTCTTATTAAGAAATACACATTGAAGATATACTCCTAAGTGAAATAAATAAGTCACACATGTAAATACCGAATAGTTTCTCTGGTGTGAATAAACTGTAATAATACATAAGATCCTAATAAGATTACTGACATTGTGAAATGGGAAGAAAGGGGCTAAAGGTGTAGGGAAGGTGGGATGGGTAGGGGGAGGGTAATAAGGGAAAAGAAAAAAATGTGAGATAATGAAAAGATGGAAATAAAGTGTTTGTAGATGGGGAGGAGAAGAGGGGGTGACGGGAGGGCAGGGACAAGGGGAAAAAATGAGAACCAAGACTTGTCATGTAGAGTTACAAGAGCCCAACAATGAATGTAACTGTACTGTATCCCTAAAATGTACCAATAAACTCAATTAAAGCTGAAAAAAAAAGAAATCCCATTTTAATCAACCCCTTTATCCATCCATTTCATGCACTCTAGACCAGGACCATCCTAAGTGCTTTAGAATCAAAACTCCGTTTTATCCTTTCTATCAGCCTCAGAGGTAGGTACAATTGTTATTCCTATTTTAGAGATAGGACTATCCACACACAGCAGTTTAGGTACTTTGCCTATTAACACATAGCTCAGAAGTCCTGACCTGGGATTCAGATCCTCACACTGGTTCCTATGTTGCTATTTTTATTATTCTGCTAAGCACCACCCAAGATATGGCCACACCAGGAGTAAGAATCAAGGAAAAAATTAATTGAACTCTCTTAGCTTCTCATGTGTGAAATTAGCTTACTTCCCTCCTCAGCCTGCTGTGTGCAGTTGAATCTCTGCTATCTCTATAGGGTTAGGTCTGGCTGGGCTGTTCCAAGTCCATGTCCAAGTCCAAAGGGTGAACACCTCTGTGGGTGTGGATCTGTCATTGTCCAGCATCACCTCTGATCTCTGCCTGGACAAGGATTTCCAAATGTGCTCCCAAGAGTTTGAATTTCAGAAGGACTCACCCCATGCTGTGCAAGCAGAGAGAGAAACTAGGACCAGAGCATAGAACCACATCATGGAAGTCCAGAAGCTGCCACAGCCTGTGAGTCTCCAAGTCACTCTCTGAAAGGCTTCTCAGGTCCCACTCTAGATGCTGAGGCCCTGTTCCTATAGCTTTGTCCTTGCAGCTGGATTAATTATAAGTGGATTAAAAAAAAAAAAAACTTTTCCCCTTCCAAAGAGTTCTAGAGGCTGATGGGAGCTGGAAGTCAGGCCCAGCTGAGTTCAAGCTCTTTTATCTAAAGAGTCCAGACTCAGCTCTCAGATTACAGCTATACACAAACTGGTACAACAACTTTTTATATAAGACCTTTTCCTTTGTGGGACCCTAGCTTCAATGCACTAGAGCTTCCCAAAAGCAGCCACAGAAGCAGATGCCTTTGGGTAGAGCACACCTTGGGTCTAAGGTTCTCAGAATAATCTGGGAAATTTTAGAGCCCCTCGTATCCCACAGAGGTGTTCATTTGCGAGTTTAGGGCACATCTCTTAGTTTCCTTGGGCTGAGGTATCTTAAAGTTGTGGGCTTTCAAGTTTGCAAGCAACCTTACCCTTCATCTAGACAGCTTTTGATGCTTAAATTAGCTTTGCGATACTCCTGCCATTGCCTCTGCATGCTGGTACATACTTCCAGGACCAAGGAACTCAGTTATTTTCAAAGTAGGGGTTTGAGGGATAGAATGTTGTTACAGTAAATGAACTCCTTATGTCAAGTCCCTAACACTAATCATCCATCTGTCCATTTATCCATTCATTCTTCAAATATTTCCCCAAATGCCTGGCCCTTGACCACTGTTCTGCTTGTGAATTTAATTTTCCAGATCATGGATTTTACTGCTTAACCTTTCTACATATTACTGAAAAAAAGCATATTCTAACTTGATGATTTGGACTGGCTTCTATTCTGTCCAAGTTCTACAACATCTCTGTAGCCACAACTCAGTAGTGCTTGAGTGGAGACTTGTCCTCTGTTAATGTGCTGTCCTCTGCTGGACATGGGGAAATTCACAGGTGAAAACAGATGTTTCTTCCTAAAGTTTTATTTTAGTTTTATGTATGGTACAAACACAAGATTATTGGGGAGAGGGGATAAAAAGGCTTTCTGTAAAATACTAGTTTTACAATTTCACTAGAAGAAATTAGATATTTTATGTTTTTACAATGATGGAAAACAGAGGTGAGTGTGAAATATGTCATGTGGTTGTTTAGGAAATGTGCTTATAAAATGGAAGTAGAACAGTTTAAGAAAGGCTTGGCCTTGAACCTGGTTCATATGGTTCTGAAAAATTGGATGTCAAAAATATTTTAAGAAGTACTAATTCCTAAAGCTGTTCATCAAATTATGTCCATAAGTGCTAAGACTATTAAAGCAGGTTTTTTTTTGGGGGGGGTGGGAAGTTTCTATCAACCTGGAAAATACATATGACACACTGCTCAGATGCAGCAGTTCTTAGTGAGAGGCATGCACCAGCATGTTTGAAAGCAGAAAAATTAGGTTTCCAGGTCCCATTCAAGAATATTCTGCTTCAGTTGGAAAGTAGTGTGGCCTGGCCATTGGAATCTGGAACAGCTCTCCAAATAATTCTTTTATTATACTCTCATAGAAAATCATAAACAGAAACATGCATACATACACACACAAATGGATATAAAATATCATTTATATATTTTCTAGTTATTTTTCTTGTTGTTGACACAAAATACCTGACACCCAAGGTTAAAGGAGTAAAGATTTATTTGGCTCACAATTTGTAGTGGTTTCAGTCCACAGTTGGCTGGCTCCAAGGCAGGGTGGCATAGCAGTGGAGCATTGCAGAGAAGAAATGGTTCATTGCAGAGAGAAGGCAGCAAAACAGCAGAAAGCAAGCCCCAAACAGTAACCCTTTTCTGTCTCTTGTATTGTATATAAGCAACTCACACTTAGGGTGGGTAGCACTCAAACCCAGGCTGAGGCCATCTTAGTCCTAACATCACACTATGAATCACAGTATCACATCCTTGATCCCAGCAGCACACCAGTCCAGTCACCTCTGAAAAGCTCCACCTATGACCGTCTGAGGCTTTGGAAGAACATCTAGATACAAGCCATAACATTCTACCCCTGCCCCCCAAATATTCATACACATCCATTTATTTAAAAGGTATTTTGTCCGTCTATAAGAGTTACCAAAGTCCTAACAGTTTCAGCATTGCTGAAAAGTCCAAATCTAAAGTCTAGATTTAAGGCAAATTCTTAGTTGTGAGTCCCTGTACAAATGAACAGAAAGCTCAACACTTCCAACATACAATGGCACAAGATAAATATTACCATTCCAAAAGGTACAAATAGGAGAATAGAAAGGAGTGGGACTAAAACAAATCCAAAATTTAGCAGGGAAAACATTAAGTTCTGTAGTTCCATGTCCAGAATCTGAGGCAGTCTCTGGCAATAAGTGATCTCCAAAAGGATTGGGTGACTATGCCCCTACAGCACTGCCAATGATTGAAGCTCCCATGTCTTCTTACTTGGGCTCATTTTGCTTACTTCTTGTAGCTTTCTTCAGGTGGTCCATGTTCTCCAACCTTTTGGGGCCACCAATGAACAAAACTCAAAATGTTTTAAATCATCCTACTGGGGTTTTTGCTCTTATTTCTCAATATAGATCTGACTAAAACCCCGTAATAGTAGCCATGCCCTGCTGCAACTTTAGACTGTCTTGAAATTTCTTCTTCAAGATGAATATATCTACTTTTTAATCCCAGTCTCAAACAAAGTCTTTGGACATAAGCAAAATGCAGACAAACTTTCTGCCAAAGCATAACATACATGATCTGGATTCCAACAGCCAATGGAGTCTTCCTGAATGTGGTATTTCCAGGCAGGATTTTTATCAGCATTCTGGTCTTCTAAGCTCTGACCAGAACCTCTCACCAAATGCTGTTTAAAGTGCTCCATGGCTGTTTTTTCAGCCAGTATCTCCAAACCTTTCCAAACTCTTCCTGAAAGACAGTTCTAAAAGCTTCTGAAGCACTAGGTCAGGTGCAGTCACAGCAACAACCCCACTCTTGGTACCAAAATATGGCTTGGTTACTTTTCTCATTGTTGAGGCAGAATACCCAACACCCACCCATTAAAGAAGGGAAATTTTTTGAGGGGTTTACACTCTGTAGAGGTTTCAGTTCATAATTGACTGACTCCAAGGCATGGTGGCAGACAGAGGGGCATTAGAGAGGAAAAGCACTTCATGGCAGAGCAGGGAGGATACAGCAAACAGCAGGCAGCAGTGACAGCAGCAGCAGCCCTCTTTCTGCCCTCTGTATTCTATCCAGGCTACCTGCCCTTAGATGTGTAGCACTTGCATCCAGGGTGATGGGCCCTTAATTCCAGCATCACATCATTGATCTCTGCATCACACACACTAGATCCAGCCACCTCCAGAAAGCCTCCTCTATGACAGCATGAGTCTTTGGGAAGATCCCAGATACAAGCCATGACACAAACCAAAATCCCTTGGTTTTCTAAACAACTGAATTGTGATTTCTTTGACCTTGGGATGTGGGTGCTGAAAGGATAAGAAAGAGCAAAAGCAGGGGCAGGTACCTGGAAAGTTGTGCTAGAAAGGGCTGGGGGTTTAGCTCAGTGGTTCCACTGCCTGCCTTGCAAGCACAAGGTCCCAAGTTCCATTCCCAGTACATAAATAAATAGTGGTTTTTTTTTTAACTCACATGGCAACTTTCCTTTTTCCAGACCAAACTAACACTGAAAGGAAAAAGATTTAGAAAGAGAATAGGCTTGTAGTTTAGGGGTACAATGCATGCCTTGAATGAATAAGGCCCTAGATTTGATCCCAGGAATGACAATAATAATGAGGAGAGAAATGTTAAGGGTGATGAGGGGTGGGGTGGGTGTTGAGCCACCAGCAGCCCTAAAGTAGAAGTCAATACCAAAGAATTTCTAGGCTTCTGGCAAAGAGCATAAGTTTGGGTTAACATGAAGCTTTGGGAGAACTCAATGAACTACTTTCAAATAGAAACTGAACAGCATTTAAAGTGATCAGATATTTTGATCAAGGTAGCTTCATTTCCTAGATATAAGGGCTCATCAACCTTTGCCAGTCAATAAAGATAATGCTGAAATAAATGGAATCAAGGGAAAAAAAAACAAATGATCATCTCAATAGATGCAGAAAAACTTGCTAAAATTCAAAATCCCTTCATGATAAAAGCTCTGAATAAATTAGTTATTTAAGAATCATGCCTTGGTCTGTGAGTGTAGCTGAGCAGCACAGCCTGGCAAGCACAAGGGCCTGAGTTCAATTCCTGGTACAAAAGATAGATAGAGAGAGAGAGAGAGAGAGAGAGAAAGAGAGAGAGAGAGAAACTTACCTCTACATCATAAAGATCACATGTGACACATTTGCAGGAAAATATCTTCTGAATGGAGAAAAATCTAAAGCCATTCCCTTTAAAATCAGGAGCTAAGATGTCTATTCTCATGTTCCTTAATCAATATAGTGCTAGAAATTAGCCAGAGAAATGTGGCCAGAGAAACTAATAAAAGGCTTACAAATAAGAAAGGAAGAACTGTCACTGTTGGCAGGTGGTATTATACTGTATATAGATAACCCTAAAGACAACACAAAAAGACTAATTAGTACTATTAAAAAATGGTTAAAGAAGAGCAGGATACAAAAGCAACCTATCAAAATCAGAAGCTTTTCTATAAGCCAATAATAAATATTCTGAAAAATTAGAAAAGTAATCTGATTTTCAGTAGCCACAGGAATAAAATAATGAGGAATAACCCCAATTAAGAATGGGAGAAAACTCTACAGTAAAAATTAAATAATCAAAGGAAAGCAATTGAAGAGGATGCTGAAATGTTGAAATGCTGCCAATGTTGATGGGTTGGAAGAATTAATATTGTTAAAAATGTCTATACTAGCCAAAGTGATCACAGATTCAGCACAGTCTTGAATATAGTACCAATGACATTCTTCACAAAACTAGAAAGAATATTTTTAAAATTCACATAGAAGAAAAAATGATCCCAAATAAGAAAAGTAATTTTAAGAAAAAACAACAAAGGAGAAGGCATCACAAATAATTAAATTTAAAACACTATAGAGCCATCGTAACAAAATCAATATGGTTTGAAACAGAATAGAATACCTGAAAATGACTCAAGCATGGTAGAACAAGACTGTAATCCCAGTACTTAGGATGCTGAAGCAGAAGGACCACTGTGAATTTGAGGTCTGGCTGGGCTACATGGTGAGTTCAAGGCCAGCCTGACATACATAGTGAGATCCCATCTCATAAAAAATAGCAAAAAATAAATCTACATATCTTCAGCCAATTTATTATTAAAACAATTATAAAAGTATATATTGGAGAAAGGACAGCCTGTTCATCAAATGGTTCCGGAAATACTGGATAGCCATATGTAGAAAACTGAATCTTGTCCCCTCACACCCTGTATAAAAATCAGTGCAAAATGGTTTAAAGACATTAAAGTCTGAAACTCTAAAATTACTAGAGAAAAAAACAGTGGAAACCCTGGCAAAGATTTTTCTAGATGAGACTTCAAAAGCACAGAAAAACAAAACTAAAAATTGACAAGTAGGATTATATCAAATCAAAAAGATTCTCACAGCAAACCAAACAACCCAATGAAGAGGAAGCCTGCAGAATAGAAGAAATTTTTGCCAGCTATTTAGTTGACAAAGGATTAATATGCTGAATATAAAGAATTTTAAAGCTTAAGAAGGAAAATGAATAATCCAGTTTAAAACGGGCAAGTGATCCAAATAGACATTTCTCAAAAGAAAAAGAAATTAGAGTGGCCAAGAAATATATGAGAAAAAATTCTAAATATCATGAGCCATTATGAAAATGGAAATCAAATCTGCCATGATATTCCACCAAAACCCAGTTGTGAGGGCTATTATTTAGCAAAAAAAGAAATATATATATATATATTCTGGTGAAGTTGTGAAGAAAATCCAACAATGTATACCATTGTTGGCAAGAATGTACATTAGTACAGCTACCATGGAAAACAGTATGCTGGTTCCTCAAAATATCTAAAAATTAGAACTAGTACAATGCAGCTCTAACGCTCCAGAGTATATATCAGAAGAAAATTAATCAGCATGCAAAAGAGACACCTTCCTGCCATGTTTATTATTGCACTATTCACAATAGCCATAATATGAAATTAGCCTAGGTGCCCACCATTAGATAAAGGTATAAAAGAAATTTGGTATATACACCAAATGGTGTATTCATCAGACATAAAGAAGAATGGATTTCTGTTATTTGCTGGAAAATAGATGGGCCTGGAGAACATCATGTTATCTGGAGTAATCCATACACAAAAAGTCAAGTATTACATGTTTTCTTTCATATGTGGTTATTAAAAAAAGAAATATAAAAAGAAAGAATTAAAGGTGACCTAAAAGTAGAACAACTATGGGACTTGGAAGAAGGCAGAGGGATGAAGTCAGGAAGGGGATTCCGCGTGTAGAGGAAGAGTGGGTGGACACGATCAATATTTGATGTATGCACAGATCACAATATCACAGAGGATCCTATCAATTTGAAAGATCATTGTGTTGATAATTGTAAAATTATTTAATAATTAATAAGAACGTGATTGTGTTTTTGCACTTGTGGAAAAAAGGCAATAACTGATATTTGATGTATAGTCAAATTGCCAGTGAATAAGAAGCAATGTGGCTCCTTACCGAAGTGCTTTCCAGAGCATAAAAACAGTACATTTAGGGGCCTGTCCTTTGATCTTACCTTTCTGCAAACATTTTAAAAAAATGAAAGTCGCCCTTGCTACAGTTGGTTACAACATCATAGATGTCCAGGATAATAAAGCAGATTTTTTTTTAGGGAAGATTGTAGTAGTTTGGAAAATACTTTTGCTACGCTGCTATGATCCTCTTTTTTTTTTTTTTTTTTTTTTTTTCAGGATTGAACTCAGGACGTTGTGAGGCTGGCACAGTGCCCCTGAGCTAAATCCCCAGCCCACACTGCTATGACTCTTAATGAAAGGTGTGCATTAGAATGCCTACACATTGAACAAAAGAAATGTTTAGCCTATTACAGAAGATTCTACATCAGCTGGGCTGGGAAGTGATTGGATATTTGAATCATGGGAAATTCTTCCAAGTGATTCTTCTACTCACATTCCTTATCAAAAAGTCTCAATTAACCAGAGGCCAAGTGCTTTTATCTATCAACTTTTATTCCATAAAACATCTGACCACGTGTGGGGAGGAAAAAGGAACAATGAGGGTCTTACATCTGGAGGATTTAGAACTGAGTTCTGTTTAGCAAGCAATCTGCCAAAATGGTCCTATGATTGAGGATGTGTGGTGTACTGGTAGTATATAAATGGTGTGTTTAGACCTAAAATGCCCACAACAAGTCATGTGTACTCAGAAGTGTGGCTATTGAAAGATGATTGGATCATGGGGATGCTGTATTCATGGGTAGATTCATTCATTGGTGAGGTCAGTAGGTTAACATGCTATTAGGAGATGAGTCTTGGTGAGAAGAACCAGTCCATTGGAGGCCTGAATTTGAAGAGCATATTCTTGTATCCAGCTCCTCCTCCCTTTCTCAGCTACCTGAGTGCTATGGATTGAGCAGATTTCTTCCAATCCTTTTCCCGTGTCATTTCTTCCTTTAAGCCAGACAACCTTGGACTGAATCCTCTGAAAATTCTGACCCAAAAGGCACTTCCTTTGTATTGTGGGTGTTGAGTATTTTATCCAGAGAAAAGAAATCTGAGTAACCATGATGTATACAATATTATTACTAATGGTAATTTTTAAATCCTTTAAGTATCATTTCCTACATCCAAAAATTACTGTCTTCAAATCCTTGTATTAAAACAAGGACAGACAACATGCAGTGCCTGGGTGATTCTGTTATTAAGTGTGTATGCAGTGAGGAGATTCATGGTTTTTAATGAATTGATCCCTTTGTTGTTTGGTAGTGCCTCTCTGTTTTCCTTGTAATATTTATTTAATATTAAATAATGTAATATTTGTAATATATATAATATATATATATATAATAATTTGTAACATTTATTCATCTAATATGAATATGGCCATCCAACCTTTTTGTTCAGTATCTGTTTTGCATATTCATTTTTTTCCACTTTTAGCCAGTGTCCTTATATTTATGGTGTGTTTTTACCCAAAATTTGTTTTGGAAGTCAAGACCGATGATGCCACAACTACTCTAGGAAGCTAAAAACAATTTTTACATGCATATTGAGGTTTTGTGGGGGGCAGGTTAGGCTCTCAATCATGGCTTGAGAGAGCGAGGAATAAATACTGGCCCTGAGCTCTTACATGATCGGGCCATGTTAGACAGGCTAAGGCTTGGAGTTTTGATTGACTCCAAAGGAGGAAGAACCCAGACTTTCTCATCAGCTTCCCCAGATAAAAGGCAAGATATGATAGAGAAGGAGTGAGGAAAAGGGAAGAAGTGTTGGAGGGATGAGAGGGGAAGGAGACCAAAAAATCCCCAAAGAATTAAGATCCCCATGAGGAATGTGATTGTTATGTACTGCAAACTTGTACTTTTAGAAAGTTATGAATTGGGCCAGGGATTTAGCTCAGTGGTTCCACCTGCCTTGCAAGCACAAGGTCCTGAGTTTGATTCCCAGTACAAAAAAAGTCAGTCAATATCAAAATATGGAGTCAGATTCTTCACTATACAGGATTTAGTTGAGTGATGATTTTTAAATCCAACAAGACATTCTTATTTCATTGATACTTTTAAATAACTTTCATTTAATGGATTCATTATATGACTGAATTAAATTCAGTCATCTTAGCAGTATTTTCCCATGTGCACATTTGTGTGTTTCTTATTTCTTTTTATCTGTTTGTCTACTTGCTTTGAGACTGAAGATTTTTATGATTCCATTTTATCTCCATTGGATTATTTTGCAGTATTTTTTAAAAAATGGTAGTGGTTGTTCTAGGTATATAATATTCAACTCAGAATAGTTAGATATGGTAAAAAATGTAATATCACTTACATTAAATTGAAAGATCTTTTAAGAGTACACTGAAAAGTAATATCTCCCAAATTTGACTCTATTTTTATTGTACTTTTCCTACACTCATAGGCCCGTGATTCAGACCCTACACTTTCAGTCTCCTTTAGCAGTAGATAACTGGGACAGGTTACTTCGCACATCTGCTGACTCCATGGTAACACCCAGGAGTGCTTCTTCTAGTCCTGTTCTCATCACAACCTTAGAGGACCTAATATCCCTCAGTCTTAGAGATGGAGCTTTCTCATCCTGCCTCTCTCCAGCAATAACTGATCTCTAATGAACCAGGGCAGAACAGTTTCTTGTTCCACACTAGAAAGAATAGAACATTTTCCTTCTCTTCAGCTTCAGTAGGTCTTCACTAGCCCCATGAGGGTAAAAGGATTTTCTGCTCTTTCCTCAATGGTGTAGGACTTTGTTCCTTTTCAGGTAAAAGTTCTCAAAACACTGCCTGCACCCATAAGGAGGATAGATTCATCTCCAGCCCAAGACAGAATTGGTCTTGAAAAGAACATTTATTCCCCAAACTGAGACCATGAATACCAACATTCTCCCTCCCTAGATTCATTCCACTCCCACAGTTCTCCAGTCTCTACAGTCTAATGCCTTTTCACTTGCCAAGCACCTTCTGTAGAATAAGCCTGTGTTGGATGCTTCAGGCTCTCAGGACTGGCTTCACTTCTCATTCAGAGATCACTGTGTTCTCTCAGTGGTGTTTTCTTCTTTGCACCCTTGGTCGTGAGCTCAGTCCAGAAAGCTACCTCTTTGTCTTTCAGCCTCTTGGATGCCTGGGTGGTAGCACCAATCTGCAGATATCCTTCCTCCTGGTCATATTCTGGCCAGTGAGGCAAGCCCTTGCCATTGGGGTTCCTGGGAAAAGAAATAAAGCACAGTTAACCAACATTTACAGGGCTCCCCATGTTTCTCTTTCTATCTCCCTCTTGGGAGGGGAGGTGGTGGCAGCTTTTGCAAATGAGTATAGTTAGAGGGAAAAAGTCACGGAAGATCTACTCTGGAAGTGTGTGTTGGGACCCTCACTACTTTGATTTCCTCTGTCCTGGCTGCAGTGAGGTGGGAATCTCTGCCAACCACATATTTTCCACCATGAAGTTCAGCCATAATATATGGGCTAAAGCAGCCACATAAGACACCTCTGAGACCATGAGCCAAAACAAACCTTTTCTTCTTCAAATTGACCTAAAGTATTTTCTCCAAGCCCTGGAAATCTAACACAGAACATTGGTGTTGAGCAGTAGTTCCTTGCTGGGTCTATTCCTGGTGGTGTAGTTTCAAAGAAGACTTTGAATTGGTTGGTGGGAGGAATTTGGAAACTCTATGACTTTATAAGTGGAGCTTAATGGATGGTTCAGATGAGAGGTCACAAGGTGAAAATGCTGATAGGAATGTGGAAAATAGAGACTGTGTCCAAGAGGTTTCAGATGAAACTACTGGGGCTCTATTGGGAACTGCATTAGAGGCCATCCCTGTAACATTCTGGAAAAGAACTTGTTTGCTTTTTGTCCATTCCCTGAGATTTTGAGCAAGGATGAGTTTAAAGGGGACAGGCTAATAAATACGATAGTGGAAATTTCAAAGCAGCACAGGATTAATGAGTATTTCTGGCTGATTTTAGCCCGTGAGAATCGGGAAAAAATGCAGAGTGGAAAGAGTGAAAGCTTGTAGTTTTTTGTAAGGAAAGGAGGGTGTTTATAGTTGTGACTGAGAAGCAAGAGCTACTAAAGAGACTAGCACTATAAAGAACAAATACATTTGAGCATTTTCTTACGATTTTACTGTATCTATTTTACATTTTTGTCCTCATTTACACTTTCAGTTTCTCACGCTAGAGAAACAATTTGGTGTTTACACACAGGGTGTGGGAAAAAAGAAGAGAGAGAAAAGAAGGAAAAAAAAAGGAAACAAATCTTTTGTAAATAGGCAGGGGTGGAAGGTTTGTAGGGAGGGAAGGGGAACAGGGAAAAAAGCAGAACAAGACGTATCATGTAAAGGTACAAACTATTATGACTGTCATCATAATGTACACCTAAAATATACCAGGAAACTTAATGAAAACATAAATAGAAACCCAGTGTCTTCACTGGAACAATGGAAAGTTGCCCTGAGGGGATCTTGGGAACTTGCCAGATATTATTGACCCCTATGCTCAAGGATGCAAAAGAGTAAACTTTTTTCAATGACTTGGCCTTGAAAAAAACCATTCCAGGGACGCCCTGCTCCCAAAGGTGGCCAAGGAAGTTGTTTCTCTGGGTTTCATTTTCACCTGTAAACCCATCCAGATACCCAGAGCCTACTACAGCTTTGGCCTGAGGGTTCTGATTACATCTCAGCCCAGGGGCAGATCTTGTCCTCCATATGATGCTTCCTGTTCCGACGGGTTTAAATTAAGAGTTAAGGGGTCCTGGCGGCTTCCACTGATATTTCAAGGAAAGCCTGGGAGATAAGAGAGGGTACATGAGGGTCACGGCCCCTATACACAGTCCCTGATGGGGTGTGTGAAGCTGAGAGGGCAAAGCTTAACCTGCAGTGGAGATCCCAGAATGTTAGGGACGCTAGGAATGTGGAATGTCTGCCAGAGAAAGCCAGGAAGGTAAGTCAGCCTGAGAGAGAGAGGTCATACACGCTGCACACAGCAACCATGGAGACAGGGCTACTGAAGCCACTGGCGGCCAACAGGTCACTGCTAGGTACCCAGGATCTGGAAATTCTGCTTCAGGATATAGCATTTGCCCTCCTAAGACTTCTCTTGCTGGTTTCACTTGTCCTTGATATTTTCCAATCCTGTCTTTTGGAATGTGAATATTTCCCCAGAATAGTTGAGGAAGTACAAACCTTAGAACTAGGTAATTGTTACTTCATTTGTGCAGGTGCTCACAGTTAAGAGTTATCTTGAGTTTCGGAGACTTCCAACTTGGACCTTTGCCCAATTCTGAAAGTACTTACTACAATTATGGGAAATATTGAATGTGGACAGAATATATTTTACAATGTGAAATCAGCATGAGCCTTTGGGAGCCAGAAAGGAATATTATGGTTTAGATTAGAAATGTTCACCAAAATTCATCTGTTGAGGGTTTTAACCCAAGCTGATGGTGCTTGGGGAGGTGGCTGCTGCCTAGCTGCAAGGTGGAGTCTAGTTGGATGAAGTAGGTCAATGAGAGTGCTCCTTTGAAAGTGTGTTAGGGTCACAGCCCCTTCACCTGTCTGTGCCTTCTGGCTTCCATGAAATAAGCAGCAGTACCACAGTTCGTGCCATGGTGGTCTAGCTCACTACAGTCTCAAGTAACTGGAACCAAGTGACCTTGGACAGCATCCTCTGAAACTGTGAGCTAAAAGAAACCTTTCCTCCCTGAAATTAATTTATCTCAAGTATGTTCTCACAGCAACAGAATTCTTACTAAGGTAGCTCTCATTTTCAGATGAGTACATAGGGTTAGGGGTTTGGTTACTGAAGCGTCAAAAGTTTTCTCTTCCCCCAAAGGTACATCCAATCACACATCACCCTGTTCCAGCCTCACCCATTACGTGCAAAGTTGGCCCAGAATTTCATCACCATCTTGCTGAGATTGATCTCCTCCTCAGAGGAACTACCTGTGTGGAAAATGAACAAGAAACACTTTGGCATTCAGAGAGGAGTAGATGAGCCCATGGAGTAGCAATAGCCAAGAGGGTGGTAGAAATGGAGGCCTTGGATTTTATTCTACATCTGCTGAGTCAAAATTTGTATATTAAGATGATCATGGTTATTTGGTGCATACATTCAGCTTGAGAATGACTGATATAAGACTGCACAATAGATATGTAGTGTGTCTGTAAATTGGCTTTCATGGCCACTTAGACCTCAGAATCAAAATGTCAACAGAGGCTGTCCTTTACCTGCCAAGATTTGAAGCTTCTAATCTTTTCTCAATGTCCTACACACACCTACAGTTTTATAGAGTCTAGAAAATATCAAAATTTCAAAGATACTAAGAATTCACAGAGCAGGAAGTTACCAGAGGCAACTTCATTAATGTACATAATATATGTGTCATAAAAGGTCATTAGATGGATCACATATTGTATGCAACTACTGAGACTTAGGATGTTGAAGACATTTGTGAAAGATTTAATTAAATATTATATTACTGTGCATATATGAGCTTCATATATATATGTGTCAAAGATACTAAGAATTCACAGAGCAGGAAGTTACCAGAGGCAACTTCATTAATGTACATAATATATGTGTCATAAAAGGTCATTAGATGGATCACATATTGTATGCAACTACTGAGACTTAGGATGTTGAAGACATTTGTGAAAGATTTAATTAAATATTATATTACTGTGCATATATGAGCTTCATATATATATGTGTGTATAACCTATTGATCTCTCACCCACTCACATTATTATATCCTCTTGTGAGTGAGAAATCAAGCAGTAGCCCTATAAGTAACCACTTCTTTTCTCATTGAGGTCACAGTTCAGGACTCTGAAAGTGACTACAACAGTGGTGCATGATACATCTGCCTTCACGCATGTTCGGACATAGGAAAGGTTAGGTTTTGCTGTACATTGTTCAACCCTGTCACTAAACAGGACAGAAGAAATTTGCTCAAGGCTATCAAAGAGATTGGCATCTAAGCTTCCTAATTTGAGCCAGCAAAGGACCATTACCTCTTAAAATTGGGGCACCGAATACTGAGGCTAGCTCATCGCCGTGGTCTCCTACCACTGTCTTGGGTTTCATGGCTGGTGAGAAGCTGGGGCGATACTGGAACTCATACATGTAGGTAGGGGCTCCAGCATCTGAGAAGACATGGATCATGCACAGTTCACGTTACTAGATATAAACTTCAATGCTGTCAAGTCCTCCACCTTGCAGGAAGCCACTAGTTAGCAGCACAGGAGAGAAATAATGTTACAGAACATTGTTTGACTTGCTTAGGCCTGCACTGCTCGTTTAAGTGATGGTGAGATCTGAACCAGAATTGATTGATAGCACGAATAAATACAGTGCATCCAACTGACAGACAGGAAGTGTTTTACTGATAACACACTGGTGTTTGTTCATTAAAAGAGTACCTATGGCCTAATAGGTGTCATCTATTCAGCTACATTTTGAGTCTTCCCAGGGATTGCGTCACCCATTCAGGGAAGAGTAAGGCGTTTCTAAGCTTCTTTTTTGAACAGGTGGATAGTCAGATGCAAACATATGCAGGAAGGGGAAAATATACTTCATATCCTTCAGAAAAAACACAAAACTCTTGATTTCATGTTTCAGTCATTTCATATATCCTATTTCTGCTTGTAGAAGTATGTCAAGACATTATGATAAGACAATGCCACAAAAGATAAATGCTAAGGAAACTTTTCCTGATCTCTCTTCTCACTTGTATTGTACCTATTCACCCTGAATGCTCCCTAGGGCATGACCCAAGATGCTGCTTTTATTTCTAAATGAATCACTGGAGCCATCAAACCCTGCTCCTTCTGGACTAATACACACTGAAGGACTAACAATGACCATATCAACATTCTGTTTTGTTTTGTTTTTTGGTTTTGGAGATAGAACTTGGGACCTTGTGCTTAGAGGCAGGCAGCAACACCACTGATCTGAATCCCCGGCCCTTCTCAACATTTTGCATTTGTTGTAAAGTTTACAGATAAATCATATTGACAGTAACATCAACCATACATTAGGCTACTGGTAAAATTTTACACTTTTACCTACTTGCCTAGAGTGAGAAATATGAGAAATACAGGAAAAATGGAAAGAAATAATTCATAATTCCACATTCAGAAAATCCTATACTTCAAAGAACCTAAAGACTCCACCAAAAAGCTTTTATAGCTGATAAACAAAATTCACCAAAGTAGACGTAATCAAAACCAACATAGCAGATCAATAGATTTTCTACTCATTAATGCTGAACTAGGTGAGAAAAATCAGACTAATGATTCCATTTCTAATTACTTCAAAGAAAACCCTAAATACCAAGAAATTAATGTAAGTGAGGTGGTAAAAGATGTCTACAATGAGAATATCAGAAAACAAGATTGTACTAGAAGATGGAAAGACCTTCATGTTCCCAGTTTTTTTGGATTAATATTATTACAATTGACATGTTACCAAAAGCAAATTGCAGAATTTAATATAATCTATCATGGCTCAATCAAGAAGAAATAGTTAGAACAGACCAATAATATGTAAAGAGGTTGAACCAATAACAAAACTCGCCTTCAAATAAAAACCCTATACCTGATGGCTTCACTGATTAATTTTGCTAATAATTTATAGAAAAATTAACATAAATCTCCACTTCATCCAAAAGACAAAGAAGAAAGAGTTCCAAATTCTTTCCATGATAACAGCTGTACACAGATATCAAAGTAAGGTAAAGATATTACAAGGAAAGAAAATTATGACTATAAACTTAATAATCATAGATGCAAAACTACAAAAATGTTAACAAATATAATTCAACAATACATTATAAAGATAATCTATTATTGTCAAGAAAGTTTTATCTCAGCCCAGGGATTTAGCTCAGTGTTTCTGCCACCTGCCTCACAAGTGCAAGGTACTGAGTTTGAGCCCCGGTACCAAACAAAACAAAACAAAACAAAACAAAACAAAAGCAGAAAGTCTTATCTCTGAAATGCAGAAACATTTCTTCATATATAAATCAGTAAATGTAACAAACAACATAATATCAAATCACTAGATGCCAAAACAGCATTTAATAAAACAATCATCTTTTCATGATAAAATATTCACCAAATTACGGATCAAACAAACATACCTCAGTAAAATAAAGGCCATATATGAGAAACCCATACGATCTGACAATATGTTCAATGCTAAAAAATGGAAAGCCTTTTCTATACAATCTTAAATTTAATAAGGATGCCTTTTTGGACCCTTCTAGTCAATATTGTTTTGTAACTTGTTGTCAAAGCAATAGAGAATCAAAAGAAATAAAAGACATCCAATTAGGAAATGCAAATACAAAACTGTCACGTTTTATTGATGACTTTGTTATACACACGGAAAGCCCTACAGGCTTTATTAAAAATACATACGGAAATTAATACAGAAGAGCTGTAGGATACAAAATGAAAACACAAAAATCATAATATTTCTGTACATTGACATTGAACTATCCAAGAAATAAATCAAGAGAACAGTCCCATTGACACTAGCTACAAAGATACAAAATAAGTAGAAATAAATTTAACCAAGGTAGTGAATAACTATACACTGAAATCTATAATATATTGAAAAAATAAGACCGCAATAAATGGAAAGATATCCCATGTTCATGGTTTGGAAGAATTAATGGTGCTGAAATGTTTGTACTACTCAAAGTGTTCCGTGGGGTTGCTGCAATCCCTATGCATGCTAGTAGAGCACAACATCATTCTTCATAGCAACACTGGATCTTAAATTCATAGAAAATCACAACTTTCCAAATCAATGTATTATTCAGCTTTTAATCTCGGACACAATACCCAACACCCACAACCATTCTGTGAGTTTCCAACTCCGTCCCTGCTCACACTAGTAGATAAAGAAGGCAATCAGACCCCAGATATGTCCTGCACACAGGCACCACCAGGCATCAGGGTTAGGGGAAGGACACCAATTCTGTGACTATCAAATCTCATGCTGAACCTGGCCTCTGGCTGAGCGGGTGGGGGTGTGTCTTTTAGTTCAGGAGATCTCTTTCCAGCCTGAACATGACTCCCTAACCATGGCTGCCTCCTGTGGTTGTCCCTTACTCTGTTACTTTGGGAGTATAACACTGAGAAGCCTGAATTGAAGCTGTTCTGTGGGCTGATCTGAGTCTTAGGTTCAGACATCTGAGCCCTTCTTGGAATGGGGTCTGACCAAGCATGCTCTCCAGGAAATATGGTGGCCACTTGGGCTGGAGTCACTCACCAGCTGTTGTAGTTCACAGTATCCACTGGTCCTTTCCACTACTATATCTCTCCCTGAAGCCTTCTGGAGCCTCCTGCTTTACTTTCTGTCTATAGATCTGGTCTTTAAGTGTCTTCCAATATTTAAAACTAGAAATTCCACTTGACCCAGTTATTCCCTTTTCAGGTATCTTCATAAAAGAGTTAGACATCATACCATAGTGATGTATGCATGTCTATGTTTATAGAAGCTCAATTCATAACAACTAAATCTTGGAAGCAGCCTGTATGTCCACTAATAGATGAATAGATCAACAAAATGTGATATTTATACACAATGGTGTACTACTCTGTCATAAAGAAGGATAAATTTGAGTTATGTGTAGGAAAATGGGTGTACCTTGAGACCATAATGATAAGCAAAGTAAATCAGACATAGTTGCTTAAATATCACATGGTTTCTCTTATATGAAAAACAATATACAAAATAAAGTGCAAAATAAAAGAGAAAGAATAGGAAAAATTACTTTATTCAAGCATGGACAATGTATCTAAAAGTTGATTTAATGTTATTGTCTCGTGTGTTTTATATGTTTTCTTTTGGCCTCTTGATGTGGCTTTTCATCTGTACATATGACAATTTTGTGAAGACTTAAAAGATAAATAAATGAATCAAATATGGCAAAGAGGGAAGTAGAGGGAAAGGGGGCAGGAAGGAATTGAGATGTAATATAAACACTATGTCATCCAAATGTAGTAATAAAAGGAAGAAGAAGAGAAAAACATAACATGCAATAAATGTTAGCAAGGATCTAGAGAAAGAGAACATATTTAAAGTATCAGTATGAGTGAAACTATCACTAATCAAAAAATTGTTGTTACCGTATGACCCAGGTTCTGAGTACTTCTGAGAATGTACTGAAAATAACTGAAACTGATTTATTGAAGAGAGGTCTTCACTCTAGTGTTCATTGCAGTACTATTCATAATGATCTGCACACAAAATCAAACTGATGTAATGGAAGAGTGCATAGGAAAAATGTGATATATCTATATGAAGACAGATATAGATATATGGATATGTAGGTTTATATCCATGTCTATACATATGTTTACTGAATACTACCAGCCTTCAAAAAGAGATAATTCTGTGCTCTGTAACATCAGGAATGAAATTGGAGAACACTGTGCTAGATGAAGCAAGGCAAGCAGAGACTGACAAAAATCTCTTGTTATCTCTTATATGTTCAAGTTGAAACAGTTAAACACATGAGACCAGGAGAAAAATGGTAGTTACATAGATCAGGCATAAGGTAAAGAGAGAAATGACAGTGGGAAGTTACAAAATTTAAGAGAGGAGGAGCATTCTTTTCTTTGATTTGCTTTTTTATTTATTTTAATTTGTATTGCACAGTGTGGCAAATACAAATAATAATAGAATAAGATATATTCCAGAATTTTTCAGAGGAAATTTCAAGTCTTGTCATTATAAAAATGTTCCATATTTCAGGCGATAGGTATGCTGATCAGTTGGATGTAATATTCTATATATCAATAATCATTTTATTTACACCATAAATTTATATAAATGTAATTTCTTAATAACTTTAGAGTAATACAAATATTCTTTCTCTCTTTCTCAAATATCTTATTGTACACTGTTCATTCTTTTTCTTCTTACCTATAGATGCTCAAAGATAACTGCAACTGCTGCAAGTAAAATACTGAAATGGGAAAGTTACGGCACAGCTTTTTCTTATGAAGTCCAGAATTTTAAAATCTTTCCAGAATTTTAGGGCGAGAGGTCTGTGCCACAGACAACTTCTGGGTTTAAGAATAGAGGCAGGAGGGTACCATGAGCTTCCCCGAATGATAACCAGAAGATGACACCCATCTAAGTGAGCTCATCTGTCCTGACTTCATACTCTGTTCACACAGCCTTGGGTCAGCATCAGGTGGTCCTGGAATAGTCCTCAGCTGGCCTTCAATTGGCTGACACCAGCACTCAGCAAGATGGACAGAAGCCAGAAGACAATGAAAATCACTACAGCTCACCCCTCTCCCTTTCCTATTGTCCTCTTCTTTTGATTTTCTTGGTCTTAGATAATCTTCTCATCACATACTTAAATCCTACATGTCCCCCGATTCCATACTGAACTACCTAATGTAAATCTAATTTCAACACTGAAAACCTTCAAAAACCATCCTTCAGTCCAACACACCGTAACCTCAGGTAAGAAGGCGGCCTAGCAGATGCTTTGCTGTCTCATTTCTATCTTCTGTTTCTGGACAAAGCAGCCTGACTTCTACTTCCTGAAGCCTTTGCTCTTTGCTCAGAATTGGCCTCACACAAGAAACTCTTACCCATGTTTGCTGCAGATAAATATGCCAAAGAATTAAACATATCTTGAGATAACTTTCACTCAGTGATAAATAGGCATTGGTGGATAAATACCACCTTCCTTGCCACACAGACAACATAACCCCAAGATGTTTCTCCTGCTCACTTCAAGGCTCCTCAGCTCTGGCTTACCAGAGTGTATGTACACTTGGCTATGCATCGTTGATTTGTCTACAATTGTTTCCTGGGTCACCTTTCACGTCTGATCCTCAGCAGTTTTCACATTTGTCTATGCTAGCAGGTGGGCAGGTCAGACACTATAGCTGGTAATTTAATGTTTCTCTACCTTCTAAATTCCGTGACTCACCTCTGTGGCCACGGGCCATATAGACAGATGGGACACCAAACATCAAATCTCCCATCAAGTCCAGGAACAAGTCTTGCTTTTTGACTGGGTCGTCTGTCCTTCCTAAATACTTCTCGGTGGCTACTGGAGTCAGCTCTTCAGGGATGTTCTGAAATGCATCAAGAAAGTGACTACCCCCATCTGGTGAGTAAGGTGGCTTTTCCACCCAGGAAGCCTCGTTAATGGCCAACCTCTTGAGCTTTGTGCAAATCCTTCCTGAAGTGAGAAAGGCAGAAAAATGGGATAGAACTCTAGATTCCAGATTATTTTGTGCCATAGAATTTGTCTGATATTGGGAAAGCCCCCACCCTTTGCTTGTTCCTCATCCAATCCCATAATTTCCCAGTTACTTACAACAATGGGATAGGACTTCCATAAGAGTGATGCAGCCGTCTTCTGGTCCATCTTACCTTCAGAAAGTGGATAGCCAAACATCTGTTTTAAAAAGTATAAACATTTATGAATTCTCATGGATTAACGGGGAGAAGCAAACGGGCCAACTAACCAAGACATTGTCAAAAGGTCCTGGTTGGCTCTTGATAAGCCTGGGTCTTTCAAGAGTTTAAAAAAACATCAATGTAATATATGGACTTATAGCCAGAAACTCAATGAGTACAAAAAACACACCTTAATTGTATGTATCTGTCAGGCTGGAGGCACAATGATAATTCAAGCAGCAAGATAACATTTAGGCTAGAACACTGCTGAAGGACAGGACTCAGGGACAGTGGACACAGACACAGATGACTGAGGAAGACAAAAATCAATCATCATGACTTTGTTCCTTTGATAACCTCTGAGATCTTTCCAAAGTGACAAGTGCAGAAATCTTAACATGTGATACTCTGTCCTAATCTCTGTACACATAGACTTAGCCCAAAACTCTAGAGGAGTTTAGAAGTTTAAGTCTGCGTCCTTGGCTGATCCCAAACCCCTGAAATGCCTGAGAACACTCAAAGATTTCAGCAATAATCACCATTTTCACTAATTAAAACATGGAATACAAATACCAGCCCCTGATCCCTATCTCAGAGAAGTTACTTTAGAAAACTTGCTATTTCTCTGCTTTGTGAAGTTTACATCTCCTGTCCAAAAGTATTTGTTCAAGGCCCTGTCTTCTCTTTTTCAGATTTTTCATAACCTCTCTGGAATGAAAACATTTGGGAAGGAAATTCTTGGTCTCTCTGTCATTCCCTGTACAAGGTGAAGCTGAAGTTCAGGGAAGGCCTTGTTTCAACTTTCATCACGGCTGTCATGAAGAGAGAGAAGCCTGTTTCTCCCTCAGAAGATCACGGATGAACAAATCCACTGGTTTTGCCACATGTGTGAATTCACCTCTCAAACCCACATGGATCCCTGAGCTCAGGCATCTGGAAACATCACCAGACTTGGTGTCAGGGATTCGAGTTCAGGTCATACTTGACCTTTTCCCTATTGCTATCAGATTATTTACTGAATGAAACCTGCTCTAGTGCTACAACTAGTGTCTAGCTTTAGCTTTGTCAGAGGAAAAGCCCTTCTTGCCTCTTAGAAGTCAGTTGTAACTCTAGCAGATGTGAACTCTCTGAACTTTTCCAGTGAGGATCCTGAGAACACATGTGAGATCGGATACCTGTGGGTCCAACTATACAGTGGACTCTCTTGCATCTCAGGCAGAGTCTCCTAAAATCCTTGGTTTTCCCCATTCTAGGCCTCTTTAATTTTCCATCTGCATAATCATTATCTCTGCAGCCCTCCCAGACTGTACTTTGAGGATAACATGATGAGAAGATGATGAAAGAGTGTTTGAGGAAAAGATTTCCCAGGGTTGTCCCACCCAGGGCAGATGTCCATTCAGGAGGTTTCCAAGGAAATATCCACTTGTGCTCATGTGGTCAGCAGTCTACACTTAGTGGAGGCTGAAGAAGGAGGCACTCATGGAACCAGAGATCAAGGGAAGATCAGTAGAGGAGTGTATCTGTCTAAGAGGTTTGTGTATTCTCACCATTGGAAGGACCCAGCCAAACTCTTGCTTATTGATTCCCACAATGTAGGGGACAGTGTTGAAATTCTTTTCTGCCAGAATCTCTTGAGCTGTTTTGGGTAGCAGCACTCCATCAATCACAGTGGGCAGGAAGGGATGACTCTAGGGAAGAAAGAAACACAAATTCTGGGACCCCCCCACCAAGTAACACCCATGTGTCCTTCTCTGACATCTGAGGGTTTGGCCATTGCATAGACCCCTTGGATATAGGCAGTGGCCACAGAATTCAGGGCTCCAACAATGGGGTCTAAGTCTGTGTGTTCCAAACTGCAGAACTTGCAGCTCTCTTCATGCTGCAAATTCGGACATCTCCAACTTCCTTTGACCTCCGTTACAGCTTTCACATCACACCCTCAGCCTCATTCTTCATCCTTTCCGGAAGTCCTGCCAGGCACTCAGATACTATCACCTTGGCCTTACCAGCTTTTCTTTGAAATCTAGGTCGAAGTTCTGTGATGAAGTGGGTTTTTGCAAGAGTTCAGAATAGAAGTATTAGGGATTCCCAGAGGCATCTTTGGAGAAGGAGCAGAGATAGGACATGATTGCCATATGGTGTCCAACTAATGTCACAAGAGCTTAGCAACTGTTAGGATGTGAGCAGGAAGAAAGAAGGATCCAAGATTCCCTCCTTGCACAGCTAATCAGCCTCATGATTCATTGTAGGCGCCAGAGCTCCTCATGCAATTATCTCTGCCTCCTGAGAATGAGCGATTCTAATGTAGCATCCTGTCTCACTGTGATGTCGGGAAGAGGAAATGTAAAAGAAAAGACCATAGCTAAGCCTATGAGGTGCAGATCTGCTAACTAGAGCCCTGGACTGAAAGACAGGGGAGTGGGTGCCAATCCCACGTCTGCTCCTCCTGGCTGTGTTACTCTGGCTTCCCCTTCTCAGGTCACAGAATTGTACACACAGAAGTGACAATCATTCCAGATTTATTACCTTTTAAAGAGGTAAATGTAAAAGAAAAGACCATAGCTAAGCCTATGAGGTGCAGATCTGCTAACTAGAGCCCTGGACTGAAAGACAGGGGAGTGGGTGCCAATCCCACGTCTGCTCCTCCTGGCTGTGTTACTCTGGCTTCCCCTTCTCAGGTCACAGAATTGTACACACAGAAGTGACAATCATTCCAGATTTATTACCTTTTAAAGAGGTAAAAGACTCATAATTTGTAATCATATAGTCAAAGATCCTTACCTCTCTGGGGTCACCATGAAGATCCAGACTAATAAATTTCTGTGGAGACAAAGGCAGAGACTGTGGTGAGAAGCCTTCCTGGGTTACATGTTGATTCTTTAATCCGTGCCCCAGCCATATCAGGCTATCCCCACTGGGGATATCTCTTTGGCTGGGCTCAGAGAACAAGGACACTACATGGACTGCACTGGACATAAGTACAGAAGAGGGGAGTAAAAGGCTTTCTTTAATGTAAGAGGGCAGCTGGACAGATGAAGTCTGTGACCAAGTATAAGCAGTGGGCCACCTAATGGACAAAATTACCAATTTCAGTGTGGTTTCCAAGAGTTCATCCTCTGTCTTCTGGCGCAGGCAGTGAACCATGATGGCTGATGTTGTGGTTTTGCACCCGGCCGTAACAGCAATATGCTATAGAGATCACAGACAACAGCAGAGTTCAAGAGCAATGTCTCTCCCCTCTGTCGATGAAAATACAGAGTTTCTATCCATTGCTAACTTTCTGAAGGTAGTAGAGGATAGTTCTGAATACTCTAGATGGAATTTCTTGGTCTCTGTAACTATTTGTTATTACATATTACTTACTACATATTTGGACTCAGGAAAGGCCCTCAGTCTCTCTAAGTCTCAGCTACACAATATTTGCATCTATGATACCCTATCTCTATTAAAATTTACACAGTCTCCTTCCCCATTATCATACGGAATCACGCACACACTTACACAAACACACACACACACACACACAAATGGGCATGATATTTTCAAAATTGAACGTCTTGAAGACAACTGGAATGGAATGCAAGTGCTCTAATCCAGAATTCCAGGGCTGGAGATTTAGCTTGAGGTGGAGATTTAGCTCAGTGTTTCAGCTTCCTGCCTCGAAAGTACAATGAACCAATTTAGATCCCTGCTACCAAAAATAAATAAATAAATAATTTTAAAAAGACAGTATTCCTGTCTTGGTTCATCCTACATCCTTTACTTACTACACATTTGTACTCAGGAAAGCCTCTCAGTGTCTTTACGTCTCAGGTTCATCATCCATATGAGCACACTTATTGCTCCCCTATGAACGCATCATGTCTCTCACTCACTACAACTGGCCTAGAATCTCAGGAGACCTGAGTAAGCCGACTCACACAATGACACACAAGAAAGTAGAAAGAGTGATTCTAATGTGAGTTCTGAGGAAACCTTTTCTGCTAAGTCACTCCAATTTCAGGGTTGTTTGCAGCACCTTAGCTACATCCCACAAGAAAAATCCTGAGGATTCAAGAAAAATAGGAAAAAGGGTACCCAAGCTATGCACAGTGTGTCCTACCTCAGCCAAGGGCTTGATGTCCTTTCTGATGGATCCACCAGCAGTCGTAGCCACACCACTCTCAGAAATGGCCCTGTGGAAGAGGTTCTTGGCCAGGGGAGACAGCACCTGGGAGGGAGGTGGAGAGGAGGACAATTTACGTTCACAGGCTCTTTACGCTTCCTTCTGTTTGCTCCTCTGACCAAGATGTTCACCAAGAGACTCTGGCACTTCCTGAACAAGGGAGTTCCTCACCTGTCTCACCTGCTTCCCTGGCCTCACACCTGGGACAGTGTCCCCCCAACAGTACCTTAGTGGGATTGCGCTAGAGCCTACTACCAAAAACAGAACAGGAAGTGTGTGGCACATGAACTTCCTTACCATCGTAAGTATTGGAAAGGCGATTTGGTAAATCTTAGCCACAAATTCAATTTCAACATTTCCAGTACAGAGAACTTAAAAGGATTTTTTTTTTATAAGAGGTCTCACTATGTAATTCAGGGTAGCCTTAAACTCACTATGTACCCCAGACCTTGAACTCAAAGATCCTCCTGCCTCAGCCTCTCTATTCCTGTGTTTACAGGTTTGTGCAACCATGCCCAGCTCTTTACTCCAAATTTATGCTAAGAAAAATTTATCACAGAGTCTCAAAGTTTTCTAAGAATGCTGATGTGCTTTATAGTAGTAAAAATCAGAAGTAACCAAAACCTGTAACACTATGTTTTTGGGTAAATGAACAACTTTTCATTCTTACCTTGGAATAGAAAGCAGTTATCAAAAAACAAAAACAAAAAAAGCAGTTATCACATATAGTATTACCTAAGAGTTTTCCTTACTTAGAGAGATATTTACTTTGCATCACAATAGTAAGCTGAATTTGGTGGAATAAAACAATACAAAGATGACAGAGGGAAGAGTGAGATTGCAGATGGATGTATGGATGGACGATAGGTGGATAGACAGAAATGGACAGTGAGATACAGAGGAAACATCATGGCAAAAGTCTAGAAAAATATATCTCATAATATTCTCTATGGCTATTGGTGTGCAGTGCGACTGTGGAAAACATTTGGCTTCTCTGGGCTTCTCTGGGCATGAAGGCAATGCATATATCAAAAATACAATGATACAATTGTCCCTCTGCTCAACACTGAGCTACTTGGAGGTTTTTTTCTCAGATTGCAGTGCCTCATATACCTTCCCTCAGTATTCATGTCATTCCAGTTCCTTACACCCACAAGACATCTTGTGCCCATAGGGTGTCTGTGGTTCTCATCCCTCTCCGTCCCATCTTCCATCGCTCCTTCTATTCGTGCACGTACCCCTCCCCAACTTGAGTCCCAGAGGCTGCTATCCTCCCTCTTGGGAATGGAAAAGCCACTGCACTACCTCAGGGAGCCCCCTGCCTGCTCTTGGTGTTTAATTTGCCTCATTATTACGGTCTAACTTGGACAAAAACAAGGACAGCTTATCCAACTTATAACCATGTGTCCATTTTATTATAATTTAAACCACCCCAACTACTCAAAAGAAGTGAGGAAAGTCCAAATATTATAGTGACTAGAAAGGAGAATTCAGCCACATGGCAAGGGGAAAATGTAGCCTGCAGCTAGATGCACTTATGACTCCAGGATCTTAAGCAGAGCTCTGAGCTTCCTGACAGACAAGGAGACTTTCAGCTTTTGCTCTCCACCATTCGCTCTTGCACAGTGAGTAAAATCAGCCCTAAATCCAGCTAAGTAGCTCAGGGCTGGATTGGCTGTTCCCCGTGAGATTCTGTCAG